AATTTAAAGTTGATCCCCAGATTTCATATTCTTCTTTTACTTTCGTCATCATAAATTCCAGGTCTTCTGTTAGTGCTATTATCACCTAGCTTATAATTTAATATGTACTACTGGAAAAGGTCAGTTTAAATTCAAGGCAAGTGATTTCTTTGTATCTTCATCCCATATCCCCTCCTTTCCTTACCTTCGTCTGTTTCGTACATTATTTCCCTCCCTCCTCTCTCCCATCACTTGTTATTTCAACATTTTTGTCACCCGTCTTAAGAGTATTTCTAAAATATGCCTAACTGCAGCAGCACTTGTAAAATATAACATTTTGTCATCTAGCACCGTTATTGAGAATATTTTATATCAATCATGCTACGTGTTATGTTGTTTGAACGTTTTCCCAAAGGCCTGCAACCATTTAAATATCTCCTGTGTGAGGACAAACAAACATTCATCAAAGCAAATATCAGATTGTGTTTTATATAATGTAAATATTAAGTATTTCCTTGGATATTATCCATCGTCTAGTAAATATAAAACGTAAAACGACGTTTCGGAGATGGGACTCTATCTCCGTCTTCAGGTTCCTACACAGTTGGGCCCACTAGATAGAGCTAATCCCTATCTCCGGAGATAATATCCAAGGAAATGTTTATTCAATTGACTCTTCACCATCGTCAAGAAGTTTTAGATTAAATATTAAGTAGTTCTATAACTTATACTCTGTATGCAGGATCGTTGGTTTGATTGGATGACGAGGGATTAGAACGTAGCATGCAGCTTGCATGGAGAAAATAAGATGTGCTTACAAATGGTAAAGAGATAAATTAGGAAACATAGTCATAGATGGAAGTGAAAAATTAAAATGGTTCTTAAAGGATTAGATTGTTACGCTGTAAACTGGTTTAGGATAAAATTCAGTGGGCTTTTGTGAATACAGTGATGAACTTTTGATTCAGTAATTACAGGGAATTTCTTGAACACATCACTTGTTGCACAGTAATCTGATGAACTCCTTCTGCAGATGAAAGACAAGCTACAGTGAAATTACAATACCACGTTAAGCTGAAGCCTTTTGAACTTAATCTGCGCAAGTACATGATCCTGGGTGGAGTGTACCATATTGATCTCCTTCAGCAGCCACCTCAGCCACAAATATTGCATGACAACTCAGTCATCACTGTTCGTAAGTAAATTATGTTATTTACCTGCACAGAACATGCTCATTTTTGTCTGAACAGACAGAGATGGTGGGTCTTTTTTATTATTATTATTATTATTATTAGTGTTCTGTCTGACGACAGGACCATATATTATGAACAGGATCCTTCCATCCTCTTCAGGTTGTCAGGGACCTGCTCATACATATATACATTCTTGGCAGATCATCAGAAGTGGTTTGCCATTGCCTTCTTCTGTGTGTGAATGGAGTAATTGTTGGGATGCCACGGAGAAACCGGGGAAGCCCCCGGAGGAAAACTCCGTGATGCCTAGACCACGGCCTTGCCCAACACAAGTTATAAATTCGGGCACGAACCCGCGACACCAGGATTACAAGGCTAGTGTTCTGACCGCTGGACCACCGTGGCAGCTTGGTGGGTCTTAGTAGAGGGAAATTAGAAAGCATGTGTCTTGTCATCTAAAAACCAAAACTGAATATGTTGAGAACAGTAGCAGCCCGTCCATAACAGCTGCAGCACACCGTATAATTTTTCAAAAATTGAAAAAATTATTTTTTGTGTTTATATAATTTGTAACACTTTATTTCCTCTATATCATTATTTTAATATTGCCCCTTACGTTGTCATTATCCACTAATTGGCTGAACTGACAGCATGTCTGCGGGCAGTAAGTGCAAAGCAGAATGGTGCAATGATCCGGCTGCAAGGATTTCTGTGCAGCTAGCCGGTCAAAAGTAGAGAGTGTGGTGTGAGGTGGAGTGAGGGGCAGTTCACTGGTACAGCGCGTAGAGGGGCTGCAGTCCCCGCAGCCGACTTATAGTAAACACGCTTGCCCGTTACCACATGTTTTAGACTGGTTTCTGTATCGCAATCTGTTTCGTGGTTGTTGTTAATGAGTGTTCAATAATTCTGTGTGCCAACTATATTTTGTTCTGATAATGAGGAAAGGAAGTGTATCATATTTACAGCAAATTACTTTTTCTAAATTCTTTGAGTGAAAAAAGTGATGTAAAAAATCATGGCCGCCCTCTTCCAGACTTACAAATAGTTAAAACACCTTCGAGCATGTATGGGTTTTCTCCTGATGTAAATTTACTTTTCATTTATTTATATTGTTATGTGTTAAAAACTATTCTATTTCTATAATTTTCCACCTTGCGCAGCACTACCACTGCTTAGACTCACGAGCCGCCACTGGTTGAGAAATATAATAAAAGGATAGACTATTCATAAGGTATGGATAAAGTAGACAAACAAGACATGACAAATTCCATAACATTAATTCTATTAAAGCACATGGACTGTATGTCCGAATGTGAATGATTTTTTTATTTCTCACTAAATCCCTGTTTAAATAAAAACACTGATAAGTGTATGCTGCACTATGTTTTAAAGACATAGTTTTGTCCTTCCTAGACACATTTTGGGGACTTATGGGAAGTTTCTTCATGCAACAGTTTCTTTTATTTAGTACTCTAAACCAATGTTCCGCAACTAGTGTGTCATAAATTGTTATAATAAATTGCATATTCATATTGCATAGTTGGAAAAGGGCAATACTTTATCTTTCATAACATGCGCATGTGTGCGTGCGCGCACACACAGGTTTATAATTGATAGTATTATTCAACATGTGTTATGTTTTGTTTTCATATCCCTGCACTCTTATGGGTCAAAGATTTATATGTGATACATATTTATGGCCATGTACAATTTTGTGGTGTGCCTTCAAGTGTCTTTAACAAATTGGGTTATGTGCCACAGGTGAAAACAAGATTGCGTAACACAGCTGTACGCAGATAGTGAATTTTTATTTTATTTTTTTCTTATTTTATTTAGCAACACTTTCAGTGGCTCAGCTTGTTTAGTGCCAAACAGAGATGAATTTGAAAGGATGTTTAAAGAAGTAGTCATTGCCTCATTTAAGGTACTGTCATGGCACATGGAATTTTCTTGTAAGAAGTGAGAAAAATGACAAACCTGTCGGGATAGCTAGTCTCTGGGCCAGGATTTGAATCCAGGACTTCTAAATATGAAGCAGGAGTGCTGACAGTCAGACAGTAAAGAGATGTCTGTACTCATAATCTTATATATAAAATGTAATACCCACATCTGTGAGGTGAGAAGAACTTACTTGGATGAAAAGGAACTTTTGTTTATATCTTCCTATTCTTGTTTTAATAAACTCAAAAGTAAAATTCTTGAAGATTGAACATATTATTTTATAATATAATACATAGAATTTAAAATATAGAGAAAAGACTATGAAACTTTTAATTTTACGTGTTCTTCTCAAAGGTCATGAAACTTGGTCTGTCTCCGTGAAGGGAGAATGGAAATTGATGGTGTATGAGAACAGGTTGCTGAGGCTTGAGAAGTCTGCGTAATGAGAAGCTTCATAATTTGTATTCTTCAACAGATATTATTAGGGCGATCAAACTAAGGGAGGTGAAATAGGCAGTGTGTGTGTGTGTGATATGCAAAATACAAAACTTTAGTCAAAATATATGAAAGTAAGAGACTGCTATGTATAGATGGGAGAATGTTATTAAAATTGGTCTTAAATATGTTGTGGAAGTGTGGAATGTAGTTATTACTTCGTGATATGGACCAGTGGTGGGCTGTCATGAACATGGCAAATAAGCTTTAGATTCCATAAAGGACAGGGAATTTCGTGACTTGCTTGGTGACTGTCAGCTTCTTAAGAAGGGCTCTACTGTATGAAATAAAGGTCTCCCTGGTGCTTAAACAGGGATGATGCCCTGCAGACATATGGGAGAGTGACGTATCATTCTATGCATTCTTAACCTTGGCATTCGATGGAGGTATTTGTAAAAATATATAAGAATATTTTTTATAATTTTTTATCATTATTGCCTTCTTCATACCATTATTATCCTTCCTAGTGTTCAGTTTAGTTGACCTGTTGTGGAAATTAAAAACAGCACCTTTCCATCTGGTACAGGATATGCCTATTTCCTCTTGGTTAACATTCTACAATTTCTTTCGGAGATCCAGCCAGTACTCCTTCTTTCATATTCATTTTTTCAGTTCCTTTTATTATTTCTTTATTAGAAAAAACTCTTCTTTGTTTTTAATTACATTATAAACTTTACTTTCTAGGCTGTAAAACAGGTACTAAGTGGCTGTAATCAAGCCAGTTGCAAGGTACATTTCTAAAGACAATATCATGCACATTATTATGGAACAGTGAAATCCCAATTTAGCATTTTTCTTGGAGTTGGTGAATTTAAACACCAGCAATTATGTTAAAAAAACAACAACATAAATTATACATTGAAAGAGGGAAGAACAGTTCGGTCATGGAGTTCAGTGTAAATTAATCCTTTAAATTATGTCTTTAAAATGCTTTGACCCTATCTTAGCTTAATCGTGTTCTTCTCAATCCTTCAAAATTTAATTTAACTATTTTCAAACAATTTTGCCCAAGCAGGGCAGATTAAATGGTAAATTTAACATTGATTTGGAAGGACTGGTGTGAGTGTGTGTGTATAAAAACTAAACTGTTAACACAGAGAGATGTAGTTTCTTAAACTAGAAACTTATAGAAATTTAATGAACATTAATACAAGATATTTTGTTCACTTTTTGAACTTCCTTATTAGGTCCCACTAATTGATTCACTTCATAATATGATTCTGTGGCAAGCTTTTGTGATCATCGTAATGAATCTCCAGGTTTTGTGCTACAGGGAATTTGTTGTTGAGCTAAATAAATATTAGCTAATCAAGGAAGAGACTGTGCCATTGAGTTAGTTTATTTCTTTGTTTTTCATCCTTGTTAATGGATAATGGACGTTACCCTAATCATTTAAGAAGTTTATAAAATAAACTTAATTTTTAATGTTAGGTTGCAGTCATTCCTGAAAATTAAATTATGTAATAGAGAGAATGTATCTATATTTGACCCAGTGGTGTTGGTCAGTTAAAAATACCCCCAGGGATGACCTATAGTGACCTTTCCAGGCCTCTACTGATTAGCCACGTCTAGGATCTGTTTCTGAGGTGACGGGCACCAATAGGGTAGATTTCTTTATCCCAGTAACAGTGTGCTTATGAATATAATGGTTGCCAGAGGGGACCTACAATTTAATGTGGCATCCAAACCATGGTGCAGACCTGGTGTACTCCTATTCCAAAATTTTGTCTTTCATAGAAGTGAAGGCTTCACTCTGTGAGCATAAAAATCCACACACTGATTTGGCCAGGGATCGCACTCAAAATCTTCTGAATGGGAATTCATTGTCCTACCCTGAGACCACCAGGTGCCAAGTTGACCTAATTATGTGAAGTCATGTATTGTAATCCAGGTCTTGTCTTCTAAAATTTAGAGGAAGATGCATGGATCTGGACATGATGTGTTGAGGTTTGTCTTTCATTATATTATGTTACTTGCTGTGGGATAAGTACACATTCTCCTCATAATTATTCAGTGTATGTATGTCACTGTACACTATAAGGTTTTCCTTTTCCATTTTGTAGTATTCTAACAATTAAACTGTGGAACTATGTTTCTTTTCCTTCTCCGCTGTACATCGAAGAATGGCTCGATGCAATCTTTTCCAGAATAGCTTTTGGCCTTCTACATCATCTTCTTTTGGCCACAATATGTATGTCTTAGTTTTCATGAGGTATTCTAAGGTTTTTGGTCTTTTTGTTCTTGGAATTTCCTCAAGGAAGAGCAAAATGAGCTCTTCCCTTCTTGTTTCGAGGAGTCTGTGCTGAGCAAGGTGTAATTCAAACTGGCACCACTGGCTTCGTAGAAATGGTTGTGAGATAACCAGCAAGATGCACCTGCTTCGATCTATACTTGAGATAATATTTTCCAGTATGCTAATTCCCACTTGGAAATCACGTTCATGGAGACAGACCTTCACTTTAGATTTGGATTCAAGATTTGGCAGCAAACTGTTGAGGACCCACTCCCGATTGTGATCACTATATGACGTAAAGATGTCATAATTAAAAATGTGGTCAGTAGAAGCATCTTCCTCGTGTGCCATGAAGCTCAGAACAGTGGCATTTTTTACGAGAATAGCAAAATATCGGATGTACCACCACTTCCAATATGTGATACCAACAACTATAGTGACAATAAGGACTGCGGCCACGGCTGTTATTGCTGCTTGTTCGTAGTTGTTCACTTCATTTGCATCAGTGTCGTCATCATCATCATCATCATCATATGCTGGAGTCTGTGGCTGAACCTTTGCTTTGTCACATGATGCATTTTGAAAGGGAATGTAGTTCACCTGATCTGAATCAGTTTTATCTAGACATATATAAGCGTCATTATCATCCCAGTCTGAAATAAAATAATTTGAGGTGTCCCTGGCAGGGTATGCAACTTTGAATCTGCTCTTGGTTTGAATGTCTGGTGGTTTATGCTGATTACTTTCAGAATTCGCTGTGATATTCTCAGTTATTTCCAAGAACTTCAGACAGTTGCAGTCACACACGAATGGGTTAGATGATACAATTAGAACCTTTAAGGATCTAAAATCTTTTAACATTGCATCTGTGATGTAATTGAAATGGTTATGTGCAACATTAAGATTCCTCAATTTTGTGTTTTTGAAAACTGGTTCATTCCATGATCTAATGTAGTTATTACTTAAGTCCAAACTGTCCAGCTCTGTTAGAGTCTCTACTATATTACTGGTAATGTTTGTGATGTCATTCTTAGCAAGATTGATTCTTTTAAGTGATGTAAGGCTCTGTAATAGATCTATTTCAATTGTTGTGTTATGCTCTAAAGATATTTTAGATAGAACCTTCAATGTGCACTCTGCTAAGTGAAGTTCTTCCAAAGATACCAACCCATTGAATGTACCAGCAGACAAATGTTGACCTAGGTTGATATTCCCACTCAAATCTAAAACTTTCAAAGTATTAAAATTTATAAACATGTCATCTTCAATATAACTTAGTTTGCTGTAGCACATTGAAAGTTTCTCTATACTTATTCTTGAAGTTTGAAATGTATTCTTAAAAATCTTTTTCCCATTGGTATACGAAAGGTCTAAGGTTGTAAGGACTGGGAAATGAGTGAAGTTTAGGCTGTTCAAATACAATGGATTATTGCTTAAATCCAAATAGAGTAGGTGGGAGAAAGACGGCAAATTCAGTATGCTGAAACTGATGAGCTGATTTTGAGACAGAAGCAGAGATTTCAGATATGGCATTTTTGTGAATATTTCTCTTTCTATGTAATAGATACTGCACTTGCTGAGGTCAAGTTCCTCAAGTTTAAGCATGGAAGGAAACACTCTGTTTGGGGTTTGTAACAGCATGCTGTCATAAACTGACAGTGTAGAATTCTTCTGCATTGCTTGTTGTTGCAGCAGCTTCTTACTTCTTTTCAGGTGGTCCTTGCTGAAATAGATATTGTTCGTATTACATTTAGGAATGTATTGCACAGCTAGTTTTACCATGGCTCAATTTTACTAACATCTGTGTATATGCAGGTGATCTGTATCAGATGTACAAACTTTAGTGATAAGTTATATACCCAAAAAAACAATGATATAAGTTTATATAGACATGGGTCCACAAATCCTTAGTTTTCAAGCCCTTTTTACAAGCTATAATTAGATCGACAAAGTGCTTGGTGAGCATAAGTAGTAGCCGTACACACACTGCATGACTGTACGTCGAATTGCTCGCCACACGATGGTGATTATTATTTTCATTATTCCATCTATTTACCATTTTACAGGGTATTTACTTCTATTTACGTGAGACAAATTATGACCCTGAGGTACATAGTGCAGCAGCTATTTTTGAAATATATTTTGTTTTTAATACACATTACATTTATTATATAGATTTATTGTGAAGCATGACTATATATACTATATATTTTACATCAGCGTCTTTCGAATGATATATGATGATCCTAGAATGGCGGTTTTCTGAAGTTCCCAAATGTAGTGTTTGCCTGGAATGTTGGCCAAATATTTTCTGAGTAACTTGGAAACAGTTCCAGCTGCTCCTATAATTATTGGGATTACTTTTCCTTTTACTTTCCACATTCGCTGTATTTCAATGAAGAGACTATTGTTATTATAGACACATCATATGCAGAGCATAAGCTTTCAGTCACTATCCAACTACGCTACCTTCCCATCTGTGTATGATGGATGGCCAACAAAGGGTGAGGCCTGTCAGATGTGTGGATGAAGTCCATTGAAAGTAAACAGAAGCAATGCTATTCTGACTGCTGTGTGTAGAAGTTAGGTTATATTAGAGGGTGACTGTGACTAGTGCCAACTGCTCCACATTTAATGCTCTGTTTTGGTACAAAGCTTCAACAATAATGCCAGCACTGTGCAATAGGAAATTTTATGATGTTACCAGGTGCTTTGTTCATCAAATTGCAACATAAAAGAAGGTCCCTAACTTGAAAAACTAAGGATTTGCAGACCCATATTTACGTAGGGCAGTCAAAAAGTTCCCGGAATTGTGGTATAGCACTGTAATGGTAGGACATATGGCAACGCTTACCTAATCACCTTCAAAGTAGGACCCTTACGCGCACACACACTTGCTCCATCGATCCTGCCAATGTTGGAAGCACTGGCGGAAGGCTTCGTTTGGAATCTTCCGGAGTTTGGCCGTCACATTTGACACCTCGCTGGTTGTGCAGCAATTCTTCGCCGAGAAAAGCATTCCCGTCATCACCCAACCACCATACTCTCTGGATCTCGCTCCGAGTGACTTCTGGCTGTTCTGTACTCTGAAAATGGGCCTCAAGGGGACGCATTTCGCAACCATGGAGGACATAAAATCGAAGCAAGTGTGTGTGCGCAAGGGTCCTACTTTGAACGTGATTAGGTAAGCGTTGCCATGTGTCGTACCATTTCAGTGCTATACCACAATTCCAGGAACTTTTTGACTGCCCCTTGTATATGAACTTACATAGTTCTTTTTATGTGCATAAATTGCCACTTAATTTGTATGTCTAATATAGAATCACTCTGTATAATCATTCTAGTTAAATATAAAAGCTAAAATATTGCATGATAATTTAAGACAAGTAGTCGCTGTTGGATTTGGCATAAACCCTTTTCATGTTATAAGCTAACAGAACACGCATCTGCATTGCATCTTAGAAGAAATTTACTGACCAGTGTGACTACCGGCAAAAATGGCAGAAATCTTCATGTGTAAAACAGTTTTTCAAGGTTACAACTGTATGTGATTGGTGGCTTATGTATTCCAAGTTGTTCCTGGATAGGCATTAAAATGTGGTACGTGCTTCACAGGTTGAATTTGTCTTGAGCCTTATTGCTATTTCTCACGCTACGTGAATATGCTTACCTAAGATTTCGAAATGTATTGCCATGCAGAGACAAATATTGAAGTGTTCCGCTGGTCATCTTTAGAACATTGTATGGTATATATGTGAGGCCAATTTTGGACAATGCCATTCCTTGTAGTGCAGATTTAGAAGCCAATGCAAGTATTAGATTCAGGATCAGTGAACGTGGAATCATTGAATTTCCAATATCGATGGTACGTATTGTTGATTGAACTGGATCCAGTGTCCCTATAAACATTAAACGTGTTGGAATCAAGAAGAACTCCAAATCAATAAGACTAACATATTCACTGCTCTGTGTATGGAAAAACAGAAATTCTAGGAGGGAATCAGTTCATAGTGAAAGATCGTGAATATTGAGAATATGGATTTTCACACCAGAGTCATTCCACGTCAAATCAACACAAAAGTTGACGTGACCATTTTGGATTTCAGTGAGATTTTGTAAACTTATGGAGTCTGATGATTGAGTGTTAAGCATGCAGTTTTTCTGTCCTCTCTCAGTTAATTTCAAAGTTATTGTGTTTTGAAGTTTTGAGTTCTTAAATCTTCCCACATTCTGATTCACTAAAATACTTACGGCTCTGGTCCGAATTAAAACGAAGCTAATTTTTGTTCCAGTTAAAAACTCTTAAGCAGGGCTTTTACTTGATAAGACAATATTTTGGCCGTGACCTTTAACATTTTACCCTCATTTATGAAAAAAATTATAACCATGTATAATTAAGTTTTTGTGATTCTTTGAGTTCATTTTTGGAAAATCTTATGCTTGGACATCAGTGGATTGATGAGTTTTAATTTTTTATAATTACATTTTTTACACACGTTGTTGGTCACTTACATTAAAGATTGCAGTAAGCTACGTAGGTAATACTACATTAATAATAAAGACAGAAAGAAACCTTTCAGGCTTATTCATTAAAATATTAAAATTAATTTTTTGCTCATGTAATAAATATTACCTGTAAGAGTAGCTATTTAGAGTCTCAAAAGCCTGGTTTCTGTTTTATCAGTGGTGCAACAAGATTCCTTTCCACTGATAACTTATTCATGAACTGTTGTAGTTTCTAGATCCGCTTTCTTAGGCACTTTTGAAGCTGGAACCCACAAAATGTCTGACTGGATGCATATGTGCTTCAGTCAACACACACCTTTTTGGGCCATAATTTTGCAAACTTTAAGAATTTAGCAACATCTCAGGATTCTTTTCCTTAAAACCTAAGTAAGCTTGTTTAAGGTTGCACCAGTTCAGATTACACCTTTCCAGTCTTGTTACTGAAAAGACGTTTTGAATATGTAATTGCCTACATGTAGATTTTTGTCAACTGGAATTTCAACACACTAATGGAGGATTATCTCTTGATTTACTTGTTACTTAGGAATTCATTACTGTGTAAATAGAATACAGGTAACCCTCGATTTGCGCCGATTCAGAATAACGCCGATTTTGAAACCAGGAAGTCAAAAAGTGAAAAAAATATATTTTACTATTATTTATAACGTTTTACAATGTATCTCGTACTGATCCTTATACTAAATCGTAATTATTACATCGCTGTTTTTGAATAAAAATTATAAATACAGTCATCTCTGCAATTACGTATATTTCGTTAACGCGAATTTGCTCCAATGAGATCGATGAATCGATAAAAGTTGTTTGTGAAATGCAAACTTTTGCATATGCGAGTTTGCTCTTATGCAATTTCATTCCTGACGCTTTAAACTTTCAAAGGACTAATTTAATCTCTGTGGAGGTATCGGGTTTATTTTTACTACGCGATTTTCTATAGGTCGGCGTCTTACATGAATGCAACTATCGCATAACAGCAGAGATGACTGTACACATCAATCACATGAAAGAATTGCGGGGACCAACGAATTGCCGATTGTAAGTGTATAAAATATATTTTTTATATTCCCTTTATTTTATTTACGTTATTTCAGAGCTTTAAATGTAATCCCATTATATTACTCGTCAATGTTTGGGTGCTGAGAACGGGTGTCATTGACTTCCCATTGATTTACATTATAAAAGAGTTTCAATTTACGCCGGTTCGTCCAGGAACGCATCCCCGGCGTAAATCGAGGGTTGCCTATATATATATAAATTAGATGCAAGAGGGAAAAATATTTATGTAGCAGAACAAAGCATTTCATTTGCTGTGAAAAATTTTCTGGGTGAAAGCAACAGGAGCAAATTGTGGTACTTGTAAGAGATTCAGTACATTTTAAGTTTCTTCCCATGTGAAAACAGAAAAATCAGTACCTGTTTCAACAGACTTTATGTTGCATTTGCGCAGATTTAGATGCTGAAGTTGTGATCCTCTTAGCCATTCAAATGTATCATTATGTAGATACTCAAGAGGATTTCCGCTCAGATCCAGGGTTGTAAGTTTCGGCAGCACTGGTGTATCGCTCGGAGATTTTCCTAAAAGAAAACAGGACAGTGAAAATGAAGTGAATGTAAAATATATGTAACTTTTGAATACTTTGTTACAGCCAATGATGACGATGAAGATATACTAACAAACCAACTCCAAAGTCTAGGAACATTCTATAAAGTTGTTTAGGTAGATAAGAAAAGACTATGTTTTCGAAATCTTGCCATTATATCATGTCCAGTAAAAGTTCCATTCAGTCTGTACCTTCAAAGATATACTTACTCTTTGATGTTATTGTGGGTTGTAATGCCATGCAGACTTGTAGGTTAGATACCAATATTTTGGAGAAATGTTGGTATCTACCTACAAATCCACACAGCATCACAACCCAGACGAACAACACTAACGTCTTCACCACCAAGAAAACCTGAAATCTTACACTAACTCCTCAATCATGAATTTTCAATCATATTTTGACATTAACAAATATAAAAAATGAAACCTCTCTTTTGGTATGCAATATGAATTCCTGCTATGTCTATGTACGCATACTAAAATCACATGGATATGATTACAGTTCTGCATATCATGTTGTCTCCCCTTTCAGCATGAGTCTGTGTCTTTGAACTGTGTTTTCATTTTTGTGAGATGTATCACGAAACATCATTAGTATTGATTTATAATTTATTGATTACAACCATCCAAATTTCTCACATTTATATTATAAACCAGAGTAGACACAGATAGACGGAGAATGTTTGCAGTTCATATATTTTCATTAATGCGCTTTATCTTGATTCACTTACTGCTCATTGTGTGAGATATATTCTGTTTCTTATATTTGCCTTCATGGAGTAGAACTTTTTGAGAGCATTACAGTCAAGAAATTAGTTTCCTTTTAATATAAATGTTCTATTTATGCCAACTCTTATTTACATTTTATGTATCATCTCACTTCATATCTCTGGTTATTAGGCCTACTTTTAAATTAATGGGAAATGTATTTTTGTGTAATGAATGACTTAAGAAATGCACCTTATTTTAAAATAAAGAGTTGATGCACAGAAACATGCCAGAAATACATAATGCATGAAAAATACTTTTTTCTAGATCATTAACATGTAGATATGAGAACTTTTTATTAAATCAGAAAGAATTTACAAACAGGCAAAGTAAATAAGTTAATTCTATGGTACAGGACCTGCTTGAGCAAGTAACAGTCAAACAATTAAAATATTACCTGATTTTATTTAATCTGAATGTTCATCACTCTTATTGCAATCTGTTTGCCTGAAATTAATTTTCGTATTTTCTACAATGCCTGGGTTTTCCAAGTGATCTCTTCCCATCTGCCATTCTATCCAAAATGTTTTATGAATTTCTTGTTTATCCTGTGCATGCGATGTGTTCCACTCATCATCTTTTATTCAGTTGTGCTAAAAATACTAGGTGACAATTACAGTGACTGTAAAGCTTCTAATTACATATTTTTCTATATTCTCATATTACATCAGCTCCTCCTTGTTTATGGGTTTGCATGTTGTAGTTTTGCTTATTTGCAGAAAAGAATTGTAATATTTCTGCATCATGGCACAGATCCCTTGCTCTTTTGCAGTCACTCTTGTGACAGCACACAGACTAATGCACAACAGCCCACATCTGCCCCACCTGTCTCATTACCTATATAGATATTGTGCGACACTGAATGTACTTTGAACATTTTAAAATTTTTAGAACTGTTTGTTGCCTTTTGTGTTAATAACCCTAACAAATTTCAACCAGGAATGTCAACATCATCCCAATAAACACCAACACTAATATTTACATGTTTATTAATCATTAATTAGACATATTAAGTATAATATTTTGGTTTCCCTGACCCCGCTATTTTCATAGTCTGAAATTTGTGAATTGCAGTTTTGCAGTTTATGGGGATTTTCAAAAACATAACCCCCGTAAATGTCAAGGTTGTGCTGTTTGTCTATCTTGTTTCTAAATATTTTCCTCAGCACTCAGAGACATTTAGTGTTTGTTTGTTTCTAAAAATGAAGGTGCAGAAGATTCACACTTGTATACAGTGTAAGACTTGAGGTTCTCACAGTGGTGAGTATGAAGATTTCCGTCTTCTGGGTTGTTGCGCTGTGTAGTCTGGTCGATGTTAACCAACGTTTCAGAGGTCATACTGCCTCCGTCATCAGGGACTACACAGACTACACAGCGCAACAACCCAGAAGACAGAAATCTTCATACTCATCGCCCTGATGACGGAGGCAGTATGACCTCTGAAACGCTGGTAAACATCTACCATACTACACAACGCAACAACCCAGAAGACAGAAATCTTGTATACAGTATTTGGCAAATAATGTTACTTTTTTGATATTTGAATTATTATCTCTTGAAAAGAGGATGGAGAGAAAATAGATTCTGAACCGAAAGGTCCTGTGCATGCTTGAGAGTTTGTACTGTTGTTAAGTTCATCTTGAATAGTTCTAACAAATTATCATAAAGGGTACCTCGAGATTTCCAGCCAGTAAGTTGATTGTATGACAGATCAAGTGTTGTAAGGTTGACCAGCCCAGCAAAGATGAGCTCAGGCTGCCCTATTTTCCCAAAATTATTGTGTGTGAGCTTCAGTGTTTCTAGGTCTAGAACCCCTTCAAATGCCCTGTCTTCCAGGTGGAGTGCTTCTATATATTCAATTCTGATCTCCTTTGTTCTGTATCCTGAGAACTGATATGACTTGATTTGGTGCACATTTCTTGCATTCCGTACTGCATACAACCTCAATCTATCCACAGGGACTTCGCTACCTAAGTTTGGTAGATCGTCCATGTACTCCCCATTGCATGAGAATATGAAACCAGTGCCTAGAATAGAAAGTTTTACACAGATTATTAACTTGTATTATGAAAAAGAATGTTTAAAAATTGCAAAGAACTACAGTTGATGACTATCATATTCAAGTACATTTAGAATTAAGTCAAATCTACTTCTTAGTATTCTATACCATTTTCATGTAATATATTAGTGTGTTGTGCTGATATCCCAGTTTATTCTATGTATTTAAATTTTAGATGAGATTCTAGTGTTAAAACAGCCTCTCTTCTTATATTATTGTGTTGTGCTATGCTGAAATTAAAAATAAAGCAGCCCTGCTACGTGCCATGTAGGTCTTTTGTGGGGAGAGGAGGTATAGCTCCAACTCATTCTTGACCTTGGCACTAGATAGGGGTGAGTGGTCAGCTTCACGTCCCGGCTGTGTTTTACCCTCAGGAAAGGACCCCAATACCCATTTGATAGAAGGCTGGGTGGGCCCTAGAGCTGGTCTAGACACAAAAGCTAAAAAAAAATCCTCTGCCTCTGTCGGGGATCGAACCACAGTCTTCCAGCCTCTAGCTGGTCACTACACTGACTGTGATATACTGGCTCCATTGTGCTATGCTATGAGGAACAGATGTTTAAAGTAATGTTCAGTCTACAATGGTAATTCTGAGTGCATAGAACTGGTTGCTGAGCTGTAGAAATAAATTACAAGCAGTTTGATGCATTCGTTTGATTTGTATTGAGAGGTACTTGTTTTGAAACTTGAGTGAAGCATTAGATGATGTGAGACAGCGTGCACAGAGTACTTATAATGAAAGCATTCTAAGTCATTTCCTAGGAGACTTGGAGACAATGTCCAATTTTTCTTGACTTTTCCACAGACAGCCGTCCATTCAGTTTCTTGTAATTTACATTTTCATTCTCTCAAAAATGGTCAACCAGTCATGAAATCATTATCTATTGAGGGATAAGAGCATGAGGATACCTCCTTTGAAATGCTTCTTGCACCTATGAATATGATTTATGTGCTAAATAAAGTTTAATTATGCCTGGGAAAATATCATGTTGCTGGCACTGGATAGGATCTATGACATTACCATCAGTAACTGAGTCCTTGTGACACACAGGTGGTACCACCTGTTGGAAGCAAGGAAAGTTCCAACATGTCAGTTGGACACCATCATGCTAGTTTATAGGAATTAGAATTACCATGTACTTTTATACTTGGCTGAATCTTAGGCTATCCTTGAGTCTAAAGATTCCCATCATACTGCCATTCTTTTCTGCAGTATCTGACAAATGTAGGAAATGTGATCAGTAGTTGATTTATTATGTAAAAATTCACTTTTATTATCTCCAGTAATTCTTGAACCTTGAGAGAAGAATGTCAGATACATTTTGTGTGTAGCTGATAATTAATACAGTCAGATGAATTGTACAGGTAATACATTTTTTGCAATAATATTTTTCTTTTTTCTATTGCTTCATGTCTCATAGGCACATTTATTCTTTCTAGCACTTTGTTTTATTACTTAAATAACCAAGTGAGGAAGCAATACATCAGTATCATGCTAACACAAATTATTTGAACAACTGATATTTGTAACTTACTGTTTGTGAAAGTGCAGTTACAGACTTCATCCATGTCATCATAATCAAGATTTTCAGGACAGGATGCTTGAATGAGGAAGTAGTCATCACCATCAGTATCTGGAGTGTTGTCATTGTCATGTATTTTGAGACGTCCATTAGAATTTATCCACTTTGCATTCTCATCTGCATCCCCTATGGCACACTTTGCATTAGCACCATGTAACAGAAAATGTAGCAGGAATAGAAGCACGAACAATGGCAGCATTGACATAGCAGCACAGTCTGAAAAACATATATTTTTATAAAGAATTTTATTGTTTTTGCTCATGTTTATCATTTAATCAGGTTATATATAAAAGATTACTTGAGCAAGTTACTTTTGGATATAACTTGTCATATCTAAAAAAGAAAGAAAAAGAGGTACTGAAAATATCATGGTGTGGAGTCCTTGTTGAGAAGCTATCAGTCTTTTACCTAGTCAAGAAAAATATATTGTTTTTTATAGAACCAGAAGGTTAATTACTGTGTTCACAAGAACCACTTATTTGACTCTCATGAGCCAATAAACATTCTCACATTAGTAAATTACCTGAAGTTGCCCTAATAATATGTTCAGTAAGTATGAACAATATTTTTTCATCAAAATCCAGGTTGGGTGAGGGTGAACTGCACATCACTGCCGCAAAGGATTTCTAAAGGGCTATGGACAAGAAGATCTGTCATGCTGCTCTGTGATAAGACGGGCGAATACCTTTCAAAATGACAGAGAGAGTTGGTAAAGCATGCACCTATCTTGTCATTGGTAATGGTAGGGCAGCCCTTCTTGTCCAGTACTGAACGTGTTTCTCATTGCAGTTTTACATGACATTTCTTGTCCAGTACTGAACATGTTTCTCATTGCAGTTTTACATGACATCTCATGCTTTATACAACTGTATGACACTTAGACAGTGATTATTCATTTGTGAAAACAAGCTGACACGTGAAGCACTATTTAGTCTGCCACACAAAAACTGTTTTCTGCTCATGCCAGTATGGAGCCTGCATTGCTGCAGTTTTTCAAATAATTTTCAAATGGTCCTTATACTTTACCAGTCCTTTTTTTCTTTTCCCCTTATCTTCATTGTTTATATTTTTGTTGACACAGGCTGCACATTACAGTCCTCATTTCCACTCATCTTTGTTTTGTCTCTGACAGTTCAGACATTAACTAGTAACTTAAAGGTCCTTTATATTAACTGAAAAATAGCCTGGAAACAAGAATAGTATTTTAAGTATTGACATTTGTTATTTATTATTTTTGTAATCGACACAAAATTGTTTTGTGAACCAAACAATATATTTAAATTCATTTATAGAGCTGACAAATTCAGGATGTATATTATCTAAATCCCAATTATTTTAACAGTAGTTTTCATGATTTCTTTTTCAGTCGTCTGCACCAATTTACTTTAAGGTATGCCACTATAGCTCTTCCCATCACATAATTCACTCATTTTGACCTAATGCTCCACAATCTTGCAGTTGATAACACATAAAGAAATAATTAAAGAATCAAAGAAGATTGTGAAAATATGTAGTGCACGCTTATCAAGGTGCATTAGCTTAGTACTGTTGTCCCACCTATGCCTTGTCTTCCAAGTGGTCTCATCCCTTTGGATTTTTGGATCAAAATTAGTATGCATTTCTCATCTCTCCCATACATGCTAATAATTCACACACCTAATCTTCCTTAATATTTGATAACAGTGATAATATATTAAGAGGAATACAAATTATGAAGCTCCAATGTGCAGTTTTCTCCATCTCCCATTACTTCCTCCCACACGTGTCCACAGTAAAATATATTCTCTTATTTCCTCTCTCTTGTTGTATAATCTCTTCAGGTAACACACATACTGTACTACTAAGCAGGCAAATCAGAAACAATTTTGCATCAAAAATCTAGTTGTCCAGATGGAGGATAAAGGAATTTTCTCAGTACCTCCAAACAAATGATCAGAGAGAATGTCTCTTTGTATCTATCACATTCATTCAGAATCCTTCCTCTTTCATAATTTCAGCCATTTATTTTACAATCTTCTCAACCCGTTGTTAACAGTGATCCTCTCTTTCAGTATTATGTAACCTATTCTGTTGATAAAACATCATTCAATAAACAAGAAACAGTATCTACTTACTGTTCAGTCCTCTGTACTCAGGTTAAATTGGTGCTGAAGGTGGTGGTGTATTCAAATATATGAAACAATAATCTACTTTTACAATGTCACTGTCTTGGAGAACTTAAAAATTAAACTCTCTTACACATGCACTACACTCGCTATGTACGAAGAAACTATTCCTTGTAGAAATGCCAGTGATATGGTTGTGTTTTGCAAAATTTATTACTCTCTTTCCAATATTAACTTCAGCTTAAACTGTGACACTGAACTACAGATTAACATTTTCATGTTTGTTCCACTCAAGAGATGTGATCTAGAGAGTCTCATATCACTGATTATCTCCAGAATAATGCTGCCTTTGTGTCTATCTTTAATCTTATCTCCAGCCTAGTCAAGTAGCAAGATTACAGTTTGTTGTATCCTATCATCATTAGCTATCTACTTATTTAGAGATGCAAAACCTGTACTTAATTTTTCAAATTATGTACCCTAATTTTATTAGAACTATCAATATGAAATGTCCATTGATAGATCTACAACTTTTAAAGCAATATTTTGTAAGACTTTTCTAAGGCTCACAGATGAAATTATAATATTAAAATGGGTAATTATGGAATAGTAGTAAAGAAATACAGACATCACTTTTTATTCTGTGATTTATTGCAGTTATCCTGATTATGATTTGACACATTAGATGTATTGATTGAATATTATGTGACTGCAGTACTAAATTATAGAATAATTGGCCAGCAAGAATGTGTGCTTGTAATATTGTCATAAGTAAGGGATTTAATTACTCAAGTATAGTTAATTTTAAGAAAAACTTGGACAAAGAATGGTCACTTTGTTAGTTGTTAATATAGTTAAAAATGGTTAGTTGAGATGCAGTGATAGAGAGAATTTCAGTATGCTGTAAATTGTTAACTGGCAGTTTAGGGTATAGGAAAATAGCAATAAGTGAGTGTGCATATTGAGTATGAACCAAGTTGTAGTTACAGCTAGAAGAACAGCAACTTAAAGAAAATATTGGTTAATTAATTCAGTGATAAGTGAGCCAATCACGTTATTAGTATCATCCATTAAGATTGCAAATCCATGTTGACAAGACACATAGTCTCACTACCCAGTGTTGTGCTAATGGCTATATTACTTTTAGAATTATGAGTCATTGTTGCATTTACTCGTTGAGACCCTCGGAGCCTGAATGCTGTGACTTGAGCCACCCATCCATGACAGACCCACTGCATCCAATCATCTAAACTTTTCACATATGCCAAATGTGGTACGAAATTCTACTACTACTACTACTACTATGGCGTAACAGCCCAAAATCGAGCCCTAGCCTCCTCTATCTTCTTCCTCCAATCCTCTCTACCCAACGCTATCCTTCTCCAAGCTGCTGTTCCAAGGAGATTTCTGGAGTCAGTCGTCACTGCATCCAGCCATCTACCTTTAGGTCTTCCCACTGGCCTTCTCCCATGGTACAAAATTCTACTTTACATTTAAAGTCTTGCATGTCACTATTTTTCATCAGTTCAGGTTCCAGCAGAGCTGAGTCCGGTTAAGTTTCATGAAAAGTATGTACCACCTCCGCCTCCAGAGCCAGGACAGCGCAGACTTCCAGAAGAGATAGAGGCTGAGCTTAAAAAACAGGAACAGGAGCTTGAGAAACTTGCACTGATCAGTATTGAGTGAGTTTGATGAGCAAATTTATGATAGATTGGCACATACAGAATAACTAAAAACATGAGAAGAATGTAATTGATTCATTTAGGGGAATGACTGTTGTTCCATTAAAATACTGAATAATTGGTAAGGAATAATCCATTCATATATCTAAGTATAGTAAGTCATTTTGAGATGAAGCATTACTTAGAGTCAGAAAAATATAACTCTTGAAAAGTAGTGTTGATTTATAACACAAATTTGTTCCACACTGTTTTGTATTTCTGATCTTATAAAGAATAAGCTGGAGATGAGAGTGGTTACTGACAAATAATTTTTGGTTTTCTTTAGCATGTTCCATAAAAGATAATTGGATTTTGAGTATTAGCCATGATGCACTCAAAGGTGTGTGCAAGACAATGCTATTTCCTAAACAGTAGTCACAAATAATGGAAGAGAGCAAGAATGTTTGTTTTTTGCTTGACTTCGCAACAAATTAACAGCATAAACCAAATGCTGGAGTGTTCCATGCTGATAATCCCCATTAATTTTGTCTAAACTTTAACTTTGAGGGGAAAATTATATCATGTCCATGTATAAAAACAAAGAATAACAAATGTGAGCCTGCAAGGGGTCTAATTATGTATAGTTATTTCCAAAATTGCACAGTTGTTTCCCTTGCATCCTACTCTTAGTCCAACTTGTGGCCACGGTTAAATGGCACACAGCTGTGATTGTGACAAGCAGTCATTTAAATACAATTGACAGACATTTAAATTAGAATACAGGGTAGTGATGCAAGCGATTCCTCTGGTTAATGAAAATTTGTGCACTGGGTCATCAGCAGCTGATGAACATTCTGTGTGTTACAGGCAATTTATTGGTCATATGAATTCACCTTAGTGTCATTTGTTGGCCATGGATTATATTATCCTCATCAAAGAGATTTCCCTCATTAATTATGATGTCAGCACTCAGTTAAGCAAGCGTCTCACGCTGGTACTGGTATCATTCACAAATGTCAAAGATCATGCTTTTGTGGAATAAATAGTCTCATAATCACTCATGCTACTTATAGAACAGAATTCACAAATTGTACAATGTCCTGCCATGTTATGCTGTGCATAAATTTCCTAGCTTGTTAATATTGTGAATTGCCTGTCATAATTATTATCTAGCTGTAAGATGGAAGATAAGTTACTGTATTTGCCATACATGTACTTTTAACCCCAAATTAATAGAGTGGTTTTATTTGCAAAGTTTGAGGTTATATTCTAGCTAATTTGCATGTTGTCACAGGTTACCAGGAAATGTCTTATGGTTTGAGCCACCCATTGTTGCCAGCTGGGATAAGGACGCAGGCTTTTGGTCCACTGAGGATTTCCATGATCTTAAATTTAATGAAGAAAAACAGGTGTTCCTCTTGTAACAGCTTATTTCACTTATCTCATATAATAAACTTGAAATAAAACAGATTTCATAAATGAATAACTTTCTGTAATAATGCTTCTATAAAAAAAATACCTCCAGTTATGGGCCTTCCTGTTCTCTGCTCAGCTAGTCAAGGGTGTAGATACATCTATGGTGTGGGAACTGCCATTGTGTTACTGTCAGTGACAATGTGATCATGAGAATGATAGTAGAGGAAACTACAGCTTAACATGGTCTCTGGACCACAATTGGTGCCAATGTTCGTTACATTGTCAAGTTTTATATTAGGCACAAATGAAAGCTTTCATCTGAGAACAGAAAAGCTTACAAACTGATCTGAGTAGAGATCGAGCCCTCAAAAAAAATCACTTAGTGAGTATTCATTTTGTAAATTATCATAATGATTACACTGATTGAAAATATTATCAAAATATGTAGCCTCTGTTTAACACAGTGTAGTTGATTTGCCATTTTCCCAGTGTTAATTCTGTCATAAAGGATTTAACAGCAGCACATGTCCACCTACCTCTGTTAAGTATCCTTTTTTTATGTGTTTATATTTAATATGTTTATTCTGTCATAGCTAAGTCTTTCATCGTTTCCATTCTAATTTATATAGTGTTGTATAAAAAATATTGGTCATATTTAGTTTTAATATTCAGTTAAGATAAATATTGATAACTAATAAAGTAATAGAAGCTTTGAATATGAACAGTAAATTATTTGATTTTCTAAGGTGCTGACATTCCGAACAGGGCGCTTTGGTGCTCTTGGTTTTGCTGCATACCGTTATGCTAACCTGCCTTATCAGACCTGGGAATTGAAGCCATACCAGAAAGGTGAAGCAGTTTCTTTCAGCATTACAGCAGCTGTAATGATTGTGGAGTTCATCATAAAGGTAATTATCTAATTTAACCTTTTATTGAATAAAACTAATCTGTTCACCATTGCTCATTATGTATGAAGTTGTGTGTGTTTATTTCTTGTTTATTTTATGACACTGTCAGTAGCTCAGACTATATAGTTCTGAATTAGTCCAGGATTTTCCCGAAGGGACTGAGAAAAGCCATGACCCCAGTCAGTATAGGCAGTCTTCAGGTTGAGATTTGAATCTGTACCTTTCTGAATATATTATAGGAATGTTAATAAAGTTGACAGAATTTAAAATTGTGTGTAAATATAATTTTTAAATTCATTTTATTTTATTTATGTTATTTCAGAGCTTTAAATGTAATACCATTATATTATTCGTCAATGTTTGGGTGCTGGGAACGCATGTCATTGACTTCCCATTGATTTACATTATAAAATCGTTCCAATTGATGCCGATTACGCCGGTTTGTCCAGGAACACATCAGGGCTACCTGTATTCGCCATTTTGTAGGGTATTTACTTCTGTGTACCTGAAACTAACCTTGTCCTTGAGGTATATCGTGCAGCAACTATTTCTGAAGTACATTTTGTTTTTAATATGTTACGTGTATTATATAATTTGTATCTTATATGCGTCATGTTTGTGTTGATTAAATATATTTATTTTGTACAGTCTATACACAAACGTTTGAAGTTTATTGGTGTTGTAAAAATTATATAATATTAAAACATTAAATGTTATATAATTTTTACAACACCAATAAACTTCAAACGTTTGTGTATAGACTGTACAAAATAAATATAGTGTATTATATAGTTTTATTGTGAGGGATGACTATATATTTTACATCAGTGTCTTTTGAATGATATATGATGATCCTAAAATGGCAGTTTTCTGAAGTTATTATTATTATTAATCAATCGTTTGGCTGGCCCACAAACAACCAAATGCTTCGAGCTTTTTGCCATCATACCTCATCTGCTTGCAGACCAGGTGAAATTGTAGCCAGGCTCAAACCATGAGATGGGCATATACAGTGAGTTGGGATCATGTGCATGCACCTATTTTCCTTTCTCAAAAGAAGAAGCAGGTGAATGAGACCATTGTGCTGTCTGTGTGTGTGTGTGTTATTTTGAAATAGTGATCTGATTTTCATTAAATTTAGTACAACTGTTATGGCACTGGAGATCACCCTAGCCTTCCAAAAATCAGTAATAACAGCATGGGGCGCATGCACAGACTCATGATGTAGGAGTGAAACTAGTGCCACATCATATGTGGTCCTGAAAAGATGTATGGTAATAGTCCTTACAAAAAATGTGCCTTATTCATTAAGGTTTCTCTTGCAGAGTGTAACAGAGGAACATAATGGCCATGTGTACTTTTTCATTTGGCTTTCAGTGTGAGAGCATAAACTAATGGACCATTGAAGTTAGGGATATGAAATTTTCTTTGAAGATATATTGTGAACATTGCCATAGATTTTATATGAAATACTGTTTCTAAGTCAACATTTACCTACATGATAATGATGTGAAACTTTGAGCTTATGTCTGACAGATTTAAAATAAAAAGAGTCTGCACTCACGAATGTTCCTTCCAAAAATAAAACAATAATAACACTCTATAACATACTTTAAAATTATTTATTATTATTATTAGTGTTCTGTCTGACGACAGGTCCATATGAACAGGATCCTTCCATCCTTTTCTCGGACTGGGACCTGTTCATATACGTTCTTTGATCCTATTATCAAACATGCCCAAGCTGAGGAGGCTAACTGATAGGTTAAATTGCATTTTGTTGTTAGATTATAAAATTGAATTACCTAGATTTGTAGGATTATAAGCTTGTAGAGCAGAAAAGCAGTCTGTATGAATTCTGCCCAGAACTCCTTGTATTCTTAATTTCATTACCATTTTGGACAATATGTCACTTGTTCAGATAACATGAATTAACCACTTGTGTTTAAAATAATATTTATTTTTATATCAAGCAAGTGTAAATTCCTTGTGCTCACCTGTAAGTAGCATAGTTCATGACTTGGCATATTTCAACCCCTGGGCTAAAACTGTTTATAAAAGGCCAGTCAGTCAGTGACAGTCATGGGTTCAGTATCTGGCCTTTCACTGTACCCAAGGAACCAGCTCAGAGGGATATGAACATAAATTTGTTTGTGGTTTTAAATGATTGTTAAATCTCCTAATAATTTATTGCATCTACTTATTACTAGGGAGATAAGGTTTGTGTGAACCAGCTGCAGAATGGTGCCACTGAAGCACAGCAAGATATTGTTGGCAACTACTACAGTCCTTACCAGCTGAGGAAGGTAAATATATATCAAGTTTCACTAAACATTGAATTGTTTTATGTAAGTATTGTGATCATGAAAACTTGATCTTAGATTTTAATGTTCAACTATATTTTCGGTGCTAAGTTCTAAGTTGAAAAGAGTGATTCTTCAATTTCTTTTGTCTGTACACCCCACCAACTGGTATTTTGGGCTGTCTGTGTCCTTCACAAATACAGTGTGAATACAAGTCTCATAATTTAATTTTCAGAAGAATGAGATCCAGATCTTCTGGAAGTCTGTTTGGTTTCTTATAATATCTATCATTTAGATATGATCTTGACTGCCACGGTGGTCTAGCGGTTAGAACCCTGGCCTTGTAATCCTGGGGTCCCGGGTTTGATTCCCGGCGGTGCCTGTATTTATAACTTGTGTTGGGCAAGGCCGTGGTCTAGGCAACATGGCGTTTTCCTCTGGGGCTTCCCCGGTTTCTCAGTGGCATCCCAACAATTACTCCATACTCCATACACACAGAAGAAGGCATTGGCAAACCACTTCTGTATCACCTGCCTAAAAAACACATATGAACAGGTCCCAGTACGAGAAAAGGATGGAAGGATCCTGTTCATAATGTCGCCAACCTCCTGTAAGATGGTGTAATAAAGAAGAAGATATGATCTGAAATAATACTGGTAGGTGCATGTCAGAAAACATATTTCTCTCTTTTGACACATGGAACAGATTCTATAAGATGATGGAATAATAATTATTTCTGCTGGTGTGACTAGCTAATGTGCAATGGTGGTGTGGACCTGTTTCCACTCCATGATGCATACTGCTACATAGATGGAGCAACACCCAAGCACAGAGCTGCAGAGAATCACCTGTACCATTGCATGGCATTACTATCAACAAGCCACAGTTTCTCATGGAGTCGCTGGAACCTACTGGCTGGAAGACGTAACTTGGTACTACAGATGAGAGAGTTTCTTGAGAAAAAAAGACAGGTGAGAAATGAGCTGTGAATCGCTTGTAGAAGAAGTGCGTCGTAGACTAGATAATTTTGTGCTGGTAAAAACGTTTTACAATATCACAGGTACTTATCTTATATAAGAATTATTAAGAAATCTATTGTTGCGTTAGTTTGTTGCATCATACTATGTACAAGATGGATGACATTGAAGCTAAAAGACTCCATAAAGCAGAATATATGAGACAGTTCAGAAAACGTTAAAAAATAGAAGTATTAAATAATGAACTCCAGAGTGTATGGTCAATGGTGAAAAATTTTTAAATTGTAATCCTGTATATTTGTAACCACACACCTATTGATGATTGTAAGAGATTTATTTTGAGTCATTTGAGAAATTATACAAAGATGTTTTCAGTTATCATAATGTCGCCAACCTCCTGTAAGATGGTGTAATAAAGAAGAAGATATGATCTGAAATAATACTGGTAGGTGCATGTCAGAAAACATATTTCTCTCTTTTGACACATGGAACAGATTCTATAAGATGATGGAATAATAATTATTTCTGCTGGTGTGACTAGCTAATGTGCAATGGTGGTGTGGACCTGTTTCCACTCCATGATGCATACTGCTACATAGATGGAGCAACACCCAAGCACAGAGCTGCAGAGAATCACCTGTACCATTGCATGGCATTACTATCAACAAGCCACAGTTTCTCATGGAGTCGCTGGAACCTACTGGCTGGAAGACGTAACTTGGTACTACAGATGAGAGAGTTTCTTGAGAAAAAAAGACAGGTGAGAAATGAGCTGTGAATCGCTTGTAGAAGAAGTGCGTCGTAGACTAGATAATTTTGTGCTGGTAAAAACGTTTTACAATATCACAGGTACTTATCTTATATAAGAATTATTAAGAAATCTATTGTTGCGTTAGTTTGTTGCATCATACTATGTACAAGATGGATGACATTGAAGCTAAAAGACTCCATAAAGCAGAATATATGAGACAGTTCAGAAAACGTTAAAAAATAGAAGTATTAAATAATGAACTCCAGAGTGTATGGTCAATGGTGAAAAATTTTTAAATTGTAATCCTGTATATTTGTAACCACACACCTATTGATGATTGTAAGAGATTTATTTTGAGTCATTTGAGAAATTATACAAAGATGTTTTCAGTTATGGCCACAGAAAATCCTAATACAATGCTGATAATATTGACAGGAGATTTTAATATTGAATTAAAGAAGGAGGAAAATCAAAGCTTTGTCACATTTATGGAGGAAACGTTTGGCTTAATATTGATGTCAAATCCTCAATGTAGTACTACTAGATCAAAATCTTGTATAGATATGGTGTTAGCACGAAATGTTGATACTCTAAAATGTACAAATTTTATAACATATTTCAGCTACCACAGGCCCATCTTAATTCAGGTTAAATAAGCAATGTCTTAATCAAAATTTACTCAACTGTAAAGCATGTATAAAGGAAATATTTAGAATAAAGCCACTATATAAACTCCTTACCGTATAGACGTATTTACGTCAAATTCTCTGGAACCGTTGTTCCACTGTAACTTATTATTCTGCCATTTAGCTGATCCCATCATTTTACTGTTACTTATTGCTGAAGGTATTTCAAATCAAATTGTTGAATAGAATATTTATACCCAATAAAGGACTGCTGCCCATTTGCCAAGAATTCAGGTGTTCTGTTTTTCCACAAATAAATAGGAAATTGAAAATCATAGAAAATTAAGTTGAATTAACTTGCATACAGAACTTGACTGGAATACATCAGTTTCTAGCCACAGATTCATCGTGGCTGGACTTCCACATGGGTCCATACTACCAAGGTCAAAGCTTTTCTGTTGAGTAATGGACAGTGCATACATTTCCATGCCAGAAATAACTGGGTAGGGAATCCACATGTGTATAATCTCTGCTTACCATTGTCGCTTTGGTTATGTTAGTTACCTATGTTATCTGGGAAATTCCCATCCAGCTGTGCAACCTTGTGGGAGAATAGCCTGTGATGATATCATTAGGTGTCAGATACCCTGACAACACAAAGGTTATCGACCCAAGAGAATTGATATCTTTGGTGCCATATGCAAAGGTCTAAGGCAAGACTCTGCCAAATGCACCAAAATTGTTACACAATGCATAGTTTCCTAACTTGTTATATATGTGCTGGATTTCTGACCTTAGTTCATCTGGAAATATCTTAAAAATATGGGCTGCAGAGACATATTCAGGCACATTTTAATTATTATAGCTGAATAATCAAGATTTTGTATTGCAGCAAGACTACTCACTTCTGCTTGTGACTCCCCAGAAGGCCTGCATTGTGGAGTGCACAGAAATGAGCCAGTCCTTCAGTGAAGAATGTGTGCAGAGTATGAGGGTAAGATAACAGCATCATTCTCTTGACTTGTGGCGCAGTTACTAGACCACAATACATTCCATTGTGTGTAGATAAGAGAATGTCTTGTCATGATTTGGAGTAGGCTGCATAAGTTATATCAGTTCTACGCGTGCATGTATGAGAAAGATAGGACTTGAGTTAGAATCAGAGGCCATACGCAACTCTGACTGTAGTTCTTGTGAGTCTGTAACTTTTAATCACTTAACTAACCACTTTGTAGGGTTTGAGGTTTTCACGGCAGTGAGTCTGAAGGTGGCTGTCTTGTGGGTTGTTGCACTGTGTAGTCTGGTAGACATTTACCATTACTCATCACCCTGATGATGGAGGCAGCAAGGACCTCTGAAACATCGGTAAACTTCTACGAGACTACACGGCGCAACAACTCAGAAGACAGCCATCTTCTAACTAACCACTTTTTTGCAAAATTATCTACTCAGGAGAAACATATTTTGCCATACTGATTATGAAAAGAAACAGAAACGTGTCTTGAAATTAATGTATGTGCACACGTGTGTGTACTCGTACAAAGACTGCTAAGTCCTGTATATTGAAGGTGTATGGAGAATGGAGGTAAAACTCCATGCATTCTAAATATCAGCTCTTGGTGGCAGTAATTGATGAGATTCATGCCGCAGCCATGGTTAAAGAGTCCCTGGTACCATCTGGATTGAAGGCTAGCCAACTCCCAGAGGTTTGCTAGATATGGTGGCAAAGAGATAAATTCATTCCTTTGCTGTGGATCCACCACCCAATCACTTGGGTGTTTGAACATAAATTAATTATGTTCTTGTGGAATTTGAGGTTCTGTGTTCTTATGTTTTGTTAACTCTCTGTCACTGCAAAAATATGGCAGTAAGGTTTCTGTTCCAAAGGAATGGTGTTGCATGAAATGATTTCCTAAAGATTCATTCAGCAACACCACTGCTAAGGTAGATGGATGGATAGACGGACACTCAGATGTGACATCAAAAATTGATGTTTCATTTTTCACATTACAGTGAGATTGTCTAAATATTTATTAAACCAGTAGAGAAATGATTATATAACATTACTTGTTATTTGTTGCAGTTCTATTCAGATTTGTATCATCTTGCACTAGACCAAGGTTCATTTTCTGCCATAGGGAAGATCAAGAATGTGCATTTCACTTTAGTTGAAACTGTGTTTGAAATGTTGGCAATGACAAGAGTGCTAAGTTATTCCTAAAAAAACTAAATTCGATTTTTGTTTGTAGTTATTTTATAAAGAAATTCAAATACATTTATTTGTCCCTTCAGCTTTTGTAAAACTACATGCTTTATGTACGTCCACAAGTGTAATAAACATTGGGAAGTGAATATCTAAAACCTGTCTTGCTTCAAACAATTATTTCATATGCATGAGTGCATTATTTGTTATTAATATGCAAAACCTAGCTGATTGCCCACAATATTACTGCAGGGAAATTTGAGATATGTTAAAATTTTCTTATCAATCTTTCTTGCTCCAAAGCTTATCACAGGCCTGCTGCATGATGAGCAGTTTGGGTTTCTACCCAGGCACAGACTGATGTTACAGCTGACCTGCCTTGTTGATAGAGTCAACAGCAATTTGATGAAGGGGTTAACCATTGGAATTTTCCTGAATGTGGTTAAAGCCATTGACACCATATGGGTCAAAAGTCTCCTGTTCAAGCTTATTATCCTAAATTTCCCATCTTACCTGGTGGAAACCTTATCCTCATATCTTCAAGTCAGACACATCTGTCACAATAAGCAGGCTGGTGCAGCTCAGGGTATACATGCCTCCCCTGTAATGTTCAGTCTGTATGTAAATGACATCCTGCAGACAACTTTCCATCAGCTACCTGGAGACTTAGTATACTTGAGCACTAGCTACATGATTGGAGGATTGGCATTGGCATCTCAAAGAGGGCCGCTGTGCTGTTTGTTAGGACTGTGAGACATCCAAAAGCCCAGGCCAGTTGAGTTCTTTGGAGAGTCAACACAGTGGGTTGAAACAGTATCTTTGGGTGACCCTTGATACACAGCTCCTGAGTGACGCACATCAACCAGGTTGTAAAAAAGGCAGCTGAAGTATAGGATGTGATTCACCCCCTTCTTAAGAGGAGAAGCAGCCTGTTCATCAGAAGTTGTATGCTGCTTTGCAAGCTGCTCATCCATCCTATGATGGATTACGAATGTCCCAGAATTTTGGGATTCCACTCTTCACTTACCACTCACAGAGTTTCGAATCAAAGTTACTTGATGTAGGAACCCTTAGTTCGGCAACTTGAAGGCACTTGTGTTAACCAAGGGCTGCATGAATGCACCCTCAGTTAAACAAGGACTGATGCTCAACAGGCCAGTGAAGGAAACCCCTAAAAAGACGTCCAAGTTAATGCAATATGTAGTGACTAATACTAATGGGCTCCATGACAGGCATTCTGTGCGTTTCCTCAGTTGTAGGGCAAATGCCAGTGTATATAATTTAACAGGGCACGGACTGCTCCCCCCCCCCTGAAAGTTTGAGAAGTCGGCTCCCATGAATAAAAGATGTTTTCTGTTTTTCTAGAATTTTTTGGTCTTGAGATCACGTTTCATGCCGTTTCGAATTCCGGTTCTGGCAGATGTTTTTCGTGGTTTTCCTCAGTTCCTCCACGGAAACGCTGGAATAGTACCTTTACATACGCCACGTAACCCTTCTTCCAGTGCCTTTATAATTCATCAATCACAATATTACCAACCCAAGCTACATGAATCACTTTAGTTAAAAAAAAGCATTATTAAGTTATTCAAACACACATTCCATTTCGCCATTATCTAATTTGGCGACATCTGGCGTGAGTTTTACATACCATAACTACGGTATCCGCCATGACAGCTGATTTGTAGCTGATGTATGTCTGTTGATGTTAAGAGACATGACATTTTGTGATATAATTGACAAATGGCAGATACGTTTTTTGGATTCAATGCTTCATTAACAGTTAGTACAACATTTGGTTTATTTTAAATATTATTTTTATGTTGTGCTGTTGCTGTCACTTTTTTAATTGAAACCGAAGATGCATGTAAATGCGAACAATGGTTTTGTTTGAAGTTTTCTTTTTTCCACCGTTTATGAGAAATCTCGTACAGTTATAAATAATTGTATTTGAAAATTACGACCTTTTTGTATATTAATGGACAATCACGCTTCGTACCTTAGAATTAGAATAGAATATATTACATGCCATAGGTTCTTTATAGACCTGAGACAAACACGTAGAACATGTCAGCACAAATACATGTTCTAATACTTGTATAAATTACATGTTTCTAATACATATAAATTACGTAGTTATGACAGCAGTTTACAGTCAACTACAGTATTACCTCGAAATAATTACATAAAGCATAACCATTATTGGTTACATGTATTTATAATAGCTGTGAATTTTTGGTTGAGATAAAATTCTTCTGTGAAGTAGGAGTTAGTGCTGGCTTAAACTAATTTATATCATGATTGATACTTTAGTTGTAGTTAATTGAACACTTTACAAAATATATAAAAGTTTAACTTAACCTTCAATAATTTTATGATTACTATATCACTTTGGGATATAGAGGGGGAAGTTATTTTGTGCCCATAGAGTAGTCAGAAGCCCATGTACTATTATAATCAGAATTCTGCTCTACAACATTTCAGAAATTTGTTTTTGGTAGCTAACATTTCACATTTTTTGAAGGAATTAATTGCTTCTTTTATTGCTATTATTTTATAACAGCATTTTAACCCCATAAAATCTAGTAGTTGGTGTAGTTCTCTGTGCTGTATAAGGTTATATGTTGAATATGCTAGAGTCCTGATTATCTGACCTCAAGAGGACTGAAGGTTGGTAAAATAATTAAAAATGTTGGTTAGTGCAGAAGAATAATGACAAAGATGATGGTAAATATGAGCTCAATGTATAACTCAGTTTACTATGTTATTAGATTGTAAATTAAATACAGCATGGCACAAAATGGAAAAAAATCTCACAAACAAAAGTAGTGTTTAACATAATGTAAATTTGTAAATGAAATAGTTTTCCTTTTTTAAGATATTAGTAATTGGTATTTATTTCTGAGCCTCCTTCCTTTTCTTCGCGGCAGGGTCATGCCAGCACCTGAACAGTAATATTTCTGGAGTGGTTGTGTCCCCTTGTTGTTCAATGTAAGCATATGTGGTCTTAATACAATTAAATCTCTCACTATGACACATTCTGCCAGCTTTCTCTGGTCCTTCATTATCATCACCATTATTATTTACAAGATCTGCAGTCTTTATGAGTCAGTTGTTGTTCTTTGTCTTCGCCTAATTATTGTGTGAACTGCAAAAATAAAGCTTCACTCACTTTCTGCTACATGCTGAGTTAACTGTTTATAAAATGGAGCATTCTGTCATGGCGTGTCAGATACCTGCAGGTTGGATAATTGGGACTGTGCTGTACATGATGATAACAGCTGGATGGAGATTGTCAGTTAAATGTCTTGGTTTATGAATCAATTTCATATTTTGGGTCTGCGTTTTTCTTTATTTTGTACTTGGCAAATAAAAGTTTTGCATATCCACTGTAGCTAGTTCAGGCATTTGAACTGTTGCAGTTCCATGTGTAAATCTTTGGGCCTTTTGAGCCTTCTAAAACTACTAGTGTGTTAGTGACATACATGTGGGTAGTGTGGTGTTGCAGTTGCCAACTCAAGCCTTCCTCCATATTTATAATCCTTTGAGAGAGGTTTTTCCAGTGAAAACCATTTTTAGGTTACAGGATTTGTAACACAGTCTTTGGGAAATGGTAAAAGGAGTTTATCTTACATCAGCTAAAAGCGCTCATAGTTCTTTCTTTATGTGTCAAGTAACAGGTCTCAATGATTTGCCAAGGATACTAGATTTGAAAACAAATGTCACTCGTAATACAGACAGTTATTTGTGTTAAAAATGTCTTCTGGGTTGTAGTGCCATGTAGTCTGGTAGAAGTTTGCCAGAATTTCACAGCTCCTAGCTGTTTCCATCATTTATAGTGCCATATAGCCTGGTAGAAGAAACGTTGGTAAACTTCTACCAGACTACATGGTGCTATAACCCAGAAGACTGTCACATTCTTACTTAATGCCATGAGAATCTCACTTATTTGTTTTAACCCATTAGAATCGGAGAATTTGAGTAAAGTAGAAGACACTGAGGAGAGAGGAAATGTGACTACAAATTAAAAAATGTAGTTAGTCTGAAATATTGTATTTTTTTCAATTTTAACAACATTTTGTTAAAATGTAAGTCGTAAAATATTTGTAGAATATGAGAATTTGATTTACATTATCTGACTGGTACATTTTGGTGTGGTTGTCCGTAAATCATTCAAAGTCAAGGTCACTATCCCCATTAGCACATAAACATCCATAGCACCATGAGTTCCATCCAGTATTATTTATTTGGCATACCAAAATGAGGATTATCATTTGAACACATTGATTTTATTATTTGTTCTGCTTACTGGTTTGTCTTGGTTACTACAGAGTGAACCTTTCAAATTAAATATTAACAAGTCATTCAAAATAGAATAGAATGTAATTTATTTATATTCTGTAGATCCTTTATAGGCCTAAGCCAAGGATGTAGAACATTTCATAGCACAAATACAATACATGTTTCTAATACAAATATAATTACATAGTTATGACAGTAATTTACAGTCAGTTACAGTATTAACAGAAATAATTACAGAAGAAAGCATAACCATTTTTTTTATATCTTAATTGCGTCATGTTTGTGTTTATTAATACAATAATTTATTTACCGTCTATACACAAACTTAAAAATGTTGTTAAAATTACTTAAAATTACAACATTTTTTCATTAAATACTAGATCTTGTTACATTTTATATTGACGACATGTTTCGATGTGTATTACACCATCATCAGGTCTATCAATTTTAAAAACTGTTTTAAAAACTGTTGCACATCTTGCTTTGCTTATATTGATTTGTTTGATTTTTAAGTCTCTTCCTTTAAATGTTGTGCTTGGATGTTTTATATCTGTAAAATTAATTTTCAAATCATGATTTTGGATATTGACATAGGAAATATAATAATTCACAAATTTAAAGAGTTATTACCGTAATATAACGTAATACAATATAAAAGAATCATAATAAATAGTAGTAAAAGGTAGTAAAACATACCGGGTTGTAGGTAACCACTCTTGCTTACAGTTATTTATAATACTTGAGAGTTTTTTGTTGAGGTAAATTCTTTTATGGAGTAGGAGTGAGACAAGATACTCTTTTTGTGCTTGCTTAAACTTCTTTGTTTTGTGATTGAGACTTTTTGTTATTGGGGAAGGTTATTGAATAGCTTAATTTCTTTTTGATATTTACTGATATTAGTATTTGGCACATGAAAGTTGTATCTGTATTTTGTACTTATATTGTGGATATCTGAGTTTCTTTTAAATTTTTCGATATTGTCCACTACATATGATGATGAGGTCAAGAATTTGCTGGCTGGTGGAAGAATATTAAATTTCTTAAACAATTCCTTACATGAGGGCCACCTTTTAGTATCTGACATTATTCTGATGATTTTCTTTTGAATGTAAAATACTTTTTTGTCGCTGTTTAATTTCCCCCCCCCCCCCCAAATAATTTCAAGTGACATAATGAAATGGCATTAAGCAAAGTAGACTAATTTTAATGAAAACTAGCAATGGCTGGGGGTTCGTCGTGCTGACCACATGTAACCCTATATCTGGTTTGATGATCGTTCACCTCTGCTTAGGCATGTGAACGTGAGGCCAGCAGTTAGCTAGTCCGCTTTGGCTCTCTGGAGCTGTTACGCCACGGATTTAATTTTAATTTAATTTAGTATTATCTGCGAAATGTATGGGTTTAGACTGAGAGTTAATGTCTGGTGGTAAATCATTGATATATGTGAGAAATAGCAGAGGACCAAGTATTGAACCTAGAGGAAGTCTATATTTTATAATGCCCTGATTTGAATAGGTGCAATTATTTGAATTTTGTGATTATTCATAATGATTTCTGTACATTTCCTGTGGTAGCTACTCATCGTGATTCTATTGTCGCTTAAAGTTGCAGTGGTATTTTTCTGTTTGTAGGGTTCTTTCGAGGATGAACTTCATGACGAACCAGGCCAAGGCTTGGATGAGGAAGAAGAAGAATATGATGCACTGAATGATGAAACATTTGGCACTGATGCTGTTGGTAGGTTGTGAGATTTTACTTCATTGTTGTACATTCACACAGTATAGAGAAAGTAGTGTGATTGTGAAATGTATCCATTTTAACTGTATTATGATGTTTTTATTTGATGATCCTTTATTACATAGGGTCATTTCTGTGGTGTTCAGCATTTTGTGCATTACATATTTCCCTCAGCTCCCCTGAAACAAACTGCAGATAGGAATTTTGCTGTGAAATGTTTGGTGTCTAAAAGAAATGAAGAACAGAACCTTGGGCATCTTGATACATTCTTTCCAGGATGTAAATTCTTATCTTGGCACTGTGCTGCCACTGATTTTTAGATGCAGATGATAACACAGTAATGTGGGTTTGGTGAATTCTGGGTGATTGATCACTTTATCTTTATATGTATGAACTATTAAAATGTGTGACTTACAATTCAATCATGGAAATTACAGATTTTTCCAGTGACAACAATGGCAGCCTTTCTGTTCAAAATACATTGTTAATTATCAGAAAAGTATGAAATTTTCAGGCATATCAAGAGATTTTAAATCAGTCACTGCCAATCCACAGCTGCAATACAGAGGTCCACTTTCTGGTGTGTTATTTTCAACATCTTCCAAACACCTTGTGAACAATGCTCTATATAAATACAGTGAACACTGTCACAAAATCAAAGCATATTGACTTTTATTTTTATTTTATTTAAAAATAACTATTCAAAGATATATTTCTTATAGCATGAAATTGCTGTGAAAACACTTGTATGTTATAATTACTGATTAATTCCAGTCTTTTTCAGTTTATAACCTTGCTGCTTGTAATTTTTGGACCGAGTGCCTAAATCTGTAAAGTGTTCTGGGGCCTGCTTAAGAAGAGTCAGACCTGTAGTCAAAACTGCAGATGTAACTTTTTTATTAAATATCTGTGGTTAGATGTTTCCATTGTGACACCTGGTTTCACGTGTTTTCCTAGATTCTACATTGCATTCCTTACAATAGTCTCATTTTATTAAGAAAGAAAACAGGTGAAGCAGCATGTAGGAGAAGTGTCACTAAAACATCAGTATTTCCTTATTGTACCCATAACATTCCTAATTTGCAAAAGTGATTTACCTGCAAGGATGATTGATGATTTTTCAGCTAGGCATGAAAAATATAAAATCCCAGCTATGAGAGAAATCAGTCTCATTTGTTGAAAATGTTAATTTGTCATCACTGTTTCTACGACAGAAGGTGACTGGGAGGAGGACCACGAGAAGCTTGCAGAGATAGCCGAACAATCTCGCGTTCATCGCAATAGTTACAATGACAGCCATGAGTCAGATGATCATGCTGATTTGGATCTGGAGGCCAGCATTTCTCAGCTTGTGTTGGAAGACTCTGATGATCCTGTCTTAGAGAATGGAAAGGCTTCAAAACCCCAACCTCTAGTATGAAATATATTGTATTTTATGAAACTTTCTGTTGTTCAAGAAAATATTGTCATCAGTTGTTGGCGTTAGCCAGTATTCACTTATGAACATTGAATCCTTACAGTAATTTATACTTGTGTAGATAAATAAGTTTTATTTACCCTATAACTTTTGTACTGTGTTAATATATTTGATTTCTTTGTTTTAATTTAATTGTTGCTAGGATTTCTGAGAACAAAAATGTTGGTATTATGTGACTTCATGTCATTTGTTGAAGTATTTGTTAAATAAAATGAAACATTTGTGAACATGTACATTTTCCACAGTTACATATATAGGGTGAGTCAGAAGTATGTTTGCAAACTTCGTGTGCGTGTTCCAGGTTCAAAAATAAGATGATATGTTAGATTTTAGGTTTTCACAGCAGTGAGTGTGAAGATTTCTGTCTTCTGGGTTGTTGTGCTGTGTAGTCCAAAAATAATTTTCAACGTATACCTTTATTGCCAATTGTAAGGACAGGGGTGTTTCTTTATAACAGATGCTCAAAGGTTGTTCCTCCATTCTCCACACATGCACGAGCATGACGTACACAAGACTGACAGATTGGTTCATACACACCAGGGTTTCCTCGAATCATCTGGCATGCATTCTGCACATGTTCCCATAGGTCGTCTTCATTGTTTATGGGTGTTGCATGAAAGACGGACTTCAAGTGACCCCACAGATAAAAGTCCAATGGAGTCAGGTCCGGTGACCTCGGTGGCCATGCTACTGGGCCTCCACGCCCAATCCATCGCTGAGGGTACTGTTCATTGAGATGATATCTGACGCGATGGGAGAAGTGTGTTGGGGCTCTGTCGTGCATAAACCACAGTTGTCTTCTTGTATTCAGTGGTACATCTTCAAGGAAACGTGGAATGTGTCTTCTTAAGAATCACCGATTGAAGGTCCTCTAAGACACGATGGAAGCTTGTGTGGACCAATAAGCATGTTGCCAACAATTCCTGCCCAAACGTTAATTAAAAATCTTTACTGGAAGCTGGATTCACTTTGATATAAAGTCAATTCATTGAAACTTATTTATGGGTATTATTTCGAAAATGAAACATTTGCGACCTCATGTTCATAGGACCATTTTTCCTTATTTTTGATCCTGGAACAAGCACACGAAGTTTGTAAACATACTTCTGACTCATCCTGTATAGTATATTGCCTTGTATCACTAGGAAGCAGTTGCATGCAACATTTTACAGTGGCAAATATTTTGAGAGGATCTTATAGATGCTGGGACTTTTACAATTGTCTTAATCATTGTTCTAATTGAGGTTGGCACTACAAGGGTTGTATAAAATCTGTGTTTCAGTCTTCACGACATTTCCCTTCCAAAAGCACTAATGCTGATTTGATTGAATCTCCAAGTTACAGCAGTTCAGCTCCGTCTGGCTTCTCAGTGTGGGGAGTTGGCAAATCTGACATCCAACACCATAAGTCCAGTACACAACCTGTGTTATCAAATGTGAAGGTCAGTGTGGTTTTATGAGGTAATTAGTTATACAAAAGTTGATTGTAACTAGATTTAGCATGCATGCTGTAGGTGAGAAATCCATAAAAAAATCTTGGTTTTTGGTTTGTGCCACTCCGTAGTCTTATAGGTGGTTACCAGTGTTTTGGATGAATTTACTGTTGATGAGAGGAAAGAATAGACATCAGTTGTTGGATGAACCTGGACTACCAGAAAGCTCAAATCTCATGTACAGTCATTTTGTGAATAGCAGTCCATTAGTAAGATTGGAGGTTCTTATGGCCCTGAGTATGAATATGGCTGTCTTCTAGAAAACAGCCGTTGTAAGTGGCCCATTATATTGAAATGATGAATTTGACAAAATATTTACATTATTGTTGTCTGTGGTAAATTATGTTTCAGGTTCCTCTTGGTTTGATGAATGTTAAATGATTTATTCTTGCATACCAATTTTTTTGTCCACTCATACTTATTATTAATGTTGTTACTGTATTTAATCTTGGGCTTTGAAGCCAAATATTACATTTCTTTAGAATCTATTAATATGTTAATGATGCATTTTGAATTTCACATAAATTGGTCATTCTGTGTTTCTGTTCTGGAAGAAATATCAATACATGATATATAGGATCATCAGTATGATGTTTCATGAGAGTGAGATGATGGCTGTCAGCCATCTTCAACTGTCATGAAAACCTCAAATCTTTCATGAGAGTGTTTTGAACTAGAATGTGAAAGATGGGCTATGGCAGAATGCCTATTTCTGTAATTCAAAGATTTCCAGCAGATTGTGTTACTGTTCACCAGAATGTTTGCACAGTTGAGGAGTTGGAGAGAGATCTAATCTCGCAGCAAAATGCAGTTTCCAGTGCACCTCCGGCTGGTCTCAGTAAACCTTCATCTGCATTGCGACTGGAGGATGTTGAGCGGGATCTTAAGACGTCCAATGCAGATGTGGGCACATCTTCCACTTTTCCTGTTGTCACTTTTGGTTTGGGTCGAGGGCATCCTCAACCTTTTGCACATCAGGTGAGAGACCAGTTATTAGAGATTTAAAAACTTTTTAATTGCCTTGTGTCAGTTAAATAATACAATCATCATTATCAACATCAAGGTAGACCTAAAAGGCCTGTTCCGTTTACATAGAAATACTTAAAAATGTTAAAATGTATCTTCCCATTGTCTTCTCGGGCATCTAATGCCTCTGTGGACAATGGCATGACATTCTGTTTTACAAGCTTGAGTTATTTCACAATTATTAAATATGTGTAGTTCTTCACATATGGTGGTATTTCTTATTTCGTCTTAAAGGGTATACCCAGTGACTCGTCTTTAAAAATGTTGTTTCTGTAGTTCCACTTTTTCTTCTGTCTATTTTGTTTAATGCCCAGTTTTTTGCAGCCATACAGAAGAACTGGTACTGCCATTACTTTGTAGATTTTGAGCTGAGTATCTTCTCTGGTTTTGTTTATGAAAGTTTGTTTTATTATGCTGCACATCTACTGATATTTACGTAATTTATTTTGTAAATCATCACAATTGTACGATAAGTCAGAGCATAAATAATTTAAAATTTTTATCTTGATCTGTGATGTTATTGTTTATCTTTATTTTGGATTTTGCAGGATATTTTCCTTTAAAGGCCATAACTTTGGATTTGTTTACTGATATTTCCATGTTGTAGTTTAATATTATGTTATGTAGCAGCTGAGTGGCCATCTTCAGCTCCTTTTTTGATTGTGCCAATATCACTTAATAATCTGCAAACAATAGCATATTTAAAATCATCTTCCCCTGTCTAAAATTAGTTTTAATTTTACCTTTTCATTCATAATTGGCTGGGTCTATGCAAATGTTAAAAAATTGGGCAACGTGGGGCAGAACTGTCTCACACCCTGATTAATAACTTCTAAATGTTTTTGCAAGAATTTGTAGAATTCTATGCTTTTATTCTTCTTTTCTTCCACCGGGGCATATATATGTCTATAAATATTAGGTGGCCTCTTGCAGTTTTTATCCGCAGGCTAATTATTCTATAACTAATAAAGTCGTAGCTGTGTATTCTATTTCTATTTTTTTTTAAATGGCTACTCCAGCTGCATCACATTTCCCATGGGGTACTCCACTATAAAATTGTATAAAATGTTGTAGTTCTTTGCTTCCTCTAAGTTTCTTTTTTGTCTCGGTAATTATCGCCAAATCAGATTTAATTTCCCTAAGTTCTTCTGGTTCCATTTCTTTTTGGCATAGAACTCTCATGATCTAAGTTGCAATATGTAATTGTTTAAAAGTTCCAGGTTTTTTATCCTTCTGTTCTAAAGGGTCGACAGTAAGTCGTTTATCCTTGTTCGTAAACTTGGTGTTTCTCAATGTGTTATCCATCCAGCAATTCCTATGTCAGTTACGAGTAGATAATTTTTATATGGGGGTACCAACCCACCACAAAACTCCCATCCTGGAGTGCAAGGGACAGAATTTTAGGTTCTCCTATCCTTAGACCATTTGCTTCCACCACAGCTAAAGAGTCTGGTCCACCCATTAGTTTCCCTTCACCTTTGACTAGTCAACAGCAGAGCTTCCCCACGTAGTTTTCTGGATCGCAAGGTACTAGGCCTACCCACCACATTGAGGTGATGGACAACTCATAAGAGGGAAATGGTAGGGGAGTTCTAGTTCTTAAAATTTTCAATTACAATTTTTTGTACATTTGTTCTTTAAATTTACAAAGTTAGCAATTATGGCTTCATGTACTACTACTGTTCAGCTATATTAATAACATTTTTTCAAAGGCCTATTCATTTTTGTTTCATCACAAAACTTGTTTATTTAAGAGAAGGCAGTTTGTAAAAATGTGCCCTGTTATGGTGTTAGTTGTTACAGTGAAGGGGAAAATTGTTACAACACATTGTATTAGTAAACAGAAGGAACAATTCAGACCTTTATTAAGTAATTAATTACAGACACTATACCAATTAACAATTAATTACAGAAATTTAACTTCAAACATATGAAACATTTTTATCATATATTAGCAGTTTGCCTTAACGAGATTCTTCCAGAAGAGACTTCATCAGCTGCTAACTTAAACATTTCCAAACATGTATTACCTCTGTTAGTCTTCCTTTTGTACGTTCGTACCATCTTTCATGATAAAAAATAAAATGTAATCATTTGCCAACGCAAGTTATTTCAAAAGATATGGGTCACACTGATACACCATAACAAGGTCCAGTGTAACAACTGGCCCCACGGTGCACCATTTTGATTTAACAGTCAAAGCAGTGCCAATATTCGACTGAAGTGAAGAACGAAGATTTCCAAACATGTATTACCTCTGTTAGTCTTCCTTTTGTACGTTCGTACCATCTTTCATGATAAAAAATAAAATGTAATCATTTGCCAACGCAAGTTATTTCAAAAGATATGGGTCACACTGATACACCATAACAAGGTCCAGTGTAACAACTGGCCCCACGGTGCACCATTTTGATTTAACAGTCAAAGCAGTGCCAATATTCGACTGAAGTGAAGAACGAAGTACACGCATTGCATTTAATATAAAGAGCTTTAGGTAAGGAAATTTTAAAAAACTTGCCTTTATCACACGGTCGTGGAAGTGAGTTAAAAGTCAGATGAAAAAATTACTTTTTACTGTTAAAAACACTTAAATCAACCGAGCTCACGTAATACACAAGCTACAAGTACCATACCTTTGGTAGAACTGTGCAAAGGGTAGACGCAATAGATATGAGACTCCTGAGATTTTTAAACTAAAATATAACAACTTGCCCTTGTAACAACTAGCCCCCTTCTCCCTACAATGAATTTTAAAATGTTGTTTATTCAAACTTATGTATTCACCATCCATTCAACTAAATACATAACTATCTTGCAATTGGACTGAAGCCACCGTTGGATGTAATCCTGATTTGTTCAATCCCATTTAAATACCTACAGCTTTTTTGTTTGAGACCCATTCTCATATTATATTCACAATCTTTTCAGCATTTTAGAAATTGCAAGAGGTTTTTTAAACTTTTATTTTGTTTCACTTCATGACTGTTGTGAAATGTGTTTTACTGTGCTTGAATCTGATCACACATTGTAATGCTAAGCAAAATATTTTCACCCAGGTGATTATTTAAGGAATAGAGTATATTACACAACCAGGAACAGCAAATTAGATACCTAATATTATTATGGTAGTCGGACCAGGGAGGTTACAGTGAGCAGAAGAAGCAAACATACAGATTTTGTTGGGAAAGCATTCTTGAAAGATTGAAATAATGTTAGGAGAATAAAGAGGAAATGTAAGTTTGGTAATGTGGATTGGATCGAACTACCTCCAGTTTGGATCGGTCAGTTTACTTTCCCACTGTCAACACTTTGATCCTAATACTGGAGGCTGACATATATCTGAAAAATGTCTTACACTGCTGTGAATATTATTTGTGTTTATAGGATGTTGTGATGATACGAAATGCTCAGAATGCTGCTCCAGTTGGCTCAGTAGGGTGTGGTAACGGCATCACACATTTCCCTTCTCATCTTACAGGCCCAGCACAACAGTCAGTGCTGGGTCTGAGTCGAGGTGCAGCTGGAAATGCTGCATTCGGGCAAGTTGTTTTGCCTTCAAGGATATTGGGTCCTCATCCAGTGACCTTAGGAATTCCAGGTCTTTGTCAGCTGCAACAGCAAAATAATAGACATATGGGTACATGAGTTTGTATTAAATAAATATCCTTTAGTTCTGAATGTATTATACAAACATAATTGATAAGGTCAGCATCGTGATTTTATTTTTGTTTTATGTTATTTTTTATTCTTAGGGTCTGCTCCAAATTTATTACACTTCATGCCCCCACATCTAATGATACAGTCACAGCAGGTTCTCAGGGACAACACAAAGTCACTGGGCCATCAAGGTTTTGCCACAGATAATGGCATTTTGCGATCTCTTCACCAGCATCGCAACAACATAGGCTATAGGACTACTTTCCAGGTGAGAATTCAAGCAGTTACAAAAATTGTCAGTGGAACAATTATTGTGTGAGCTGTTTTCCTTCCTTTATTTTAAAGCTACAGATTTTTGTTGGTTGTTTTGTGCTTGGATGAATACAGTAATTGCACCTGCTCTGAGCAAGTTGACTATGTGATAACATGCCATGTTTGTATTCAGGTTCAAGTAATGGCCAGCTACCAGCTATAGTGACTGATATTTCATGGTTTTGCTACTGTTTCTGGCATCATATCTTGAAATAGGACATTCCTTCTTCAAACCACATCCTTTCATGCTCACTTGTTATTCTTTTCACTGCTGACTTCTGCAGTTGACAGTGTCATGAAACACTGTATAGTATATAGAAACTTGTCCTCATTGATCTCTCATTTTCAGCTGCGTAATTAATCTGTTGGTTCAGCCATGAATAATGAAATAATGTTTTAGGGGAGCAGTGGTATATGAATTAAAAAATTTCTGGATTTAATCGTTTTCTTTTTTACTTTACACATACAATTATTGTTCCATGATGTTTGCTTGCTATCTGATACAGTGAGCCTAGTGGAGCTATGTTTTGAACTCCACAAGTATGGTTTTTGATTGTTTGTTAATATTACATCATCATCATTTTCTTTGAACACCAACTTGGTTAGATTTGGGGAATATGGGAAGATGGGGGACAACAACCATCTTGTTTCTGACCAAAAGTGCATGTACTTATGAAGCATAAAGAACAGGATCATCTTGTCATGGTGGAGAAATCGGTCTCTAGTTCACCATTTCTTATAGATGCCACAAAAAATGTGTGTTTAAGTTCTGGTTCCCATTTCTCCATGGTATGAACTCCAGATACATAATTCCATCAATGTCAAGAAACATAATAAAAAAGCTGTTGAAATTTGAACTTGGAAACTGCTTGAATGATTGAATTCTGCTCAGTGTTTCCTCCCCATACTTAAATGTTAACATGTTTAACTTATTGTAATTATTTTTCCTGATTGAAATGGAGATTTATTTTTACTTACTGTTCTTTTAAAGACTGTCATTATTTTGAAAAACAGAGATGACGCGTGACCATACTTCATTGCGTTGTGTCTGAGGAGATCAATTATTCCTGTTCAAACAATTGTAAACTAATGCTCTGTTGCTACATTATGTTGTCATATGCCACAAATGAGATTACTGCAGTCATATGTTTAAAGGAACATTTTGGCTTGATTTTAGGAGTCAAACGATCCTTATGTTTGTTGTTATGTAATTAAGAATCATTCTGTATCCATTTTTTTGTATGATGTAACAGAACTATATAGTCCCATTTGACTCACTACAAGTACACTTCCTGAGAAGTAAAATTCTGATTTTGATGGATAAAGTATCCATTTGGCACTTCCTGGGAAGTAAAATTTTGATTTTGATGGATAAAGTATCCATTTGTATATGGTTGGCATTATACAGGGTGATTCAAAAGGTTATTATTTCAGAGGTATGTTATCAGACTTCCCTACCTTCAGTGACCTCGACTGACTCAGGATAACTTCGGAGGACATGGATTTTTATTCGAAAGTTGTTCTCTCTGAGTCCCTCTATACGCTCCTTCAGTTTGGCCCTAAGCTTTTGAATCACCCTGTATAGATGGAGTTATATTGTGCAAAAAATTGGTGAGGGAATGTGGTGGCAATCCAGATTCTTTGTTGAATACACAGTTATTACAGTTCATCCACGTTTTCAGTTATTTAAACATATTTATGTTATAGGGCCCATTGGTTGATCACCGATTGCCAGTGTCAGGGCAGTTTCCACTGCGACCTGACCTACTGATGGGATCCCGTTACGTTAACAATCGGTCTGCAGTTGGAAACTTCGGTCAACAGTATGGTCACCAAGGCAACTATAGCTGTCACTATAACAATTATAACAGCTACAGACAGTATAAACATCACACGGAGAATGAATCAGGAGACTATGATGAATATGCTGGCCTTATGACAGCTAGAGAGAAACATTGGCTGTTGAATATCCAGTTGTTGCAACTCAACACCAGTCAGCCTTATGTCGATGACTACTACTACAAGGTACAACAGTGTTTCTTCTTCTATGGCTCTCCGGTCCGTATTCAGTCCATGGCCTCCTCAATTCTCCTCTTCCATTCGGTCCTCTGTTAGGTCCATCTGTCCGAGGCTTTGATTGAGGTTTCGAAACATCTTCCTTTTTACGGTGCAGGGTTGTTAGCCTTGCGACCAACCCCCAACCTGGAGGACCAGGGTACCTGCCTTAGTCTGACCTCTCCCCCTCGACCAATCTGGCTAGGGAGGCCCTACCAGTAGCTATGCTACCGCCAGCATAGCTCTTGGGATCACTGAGGAACTCAAGCCGCACCACCACAAGGTGCAGGTACCATTAAGTGGGGACAACAGTGTTACATGTGTTAATAAGTACGTGACATAGAATGTATGTTCATATGAGTGAGGTTGCATTCAGTATTGTCTAAACCAAACCTTGGTAGACCAGTAATGGATTACTATATTTACGTTAATATAAGACTCACATTTATTTTCCAAATTTGTATATCCTAAATGTGGGTTGCAGCATATGATTGGAATGTTTTTTGTGATGAGGTAATTGGCCTGTATTACAGTTGATTATAGTTTTCGACATAGGGGAAAAATACATATATTTAAATAACTAAAAACGGCTGTTACACAGAAGAATGGGAGAATGGTACTGCATGAAATAATGAAATCTAAAATGTTTGGAAGGGCACATCATCAGTGTTTTATCAGTGGAGTGAGTTTTTGCTCTTGAATGGAAACTGTTGGATGTGGTGCATAGTTAAAAACTGTCAAATAACTTAACTGTAGCAGTAGCCAGTTAGTACAACTATATGAAAGAATCTGCACAGGAAAATTATGACTTTGCTGAAGTGAATGGGGTGAAGGTGTGAATATCATCAGACATACTTAACGTTCTGGTAAAGATACCGTCAACCTAATGAACACACACTATTCTCATGAATAAAAGTTAATCTGATGCTACTTGCTGTACTTAAAGTTCCATTTTTGTGAGGTCATCATGTGTATGACAGTACGTGCAAAATGATCGATTCTCATGAAATTGCTACAACCAGTGTTTTGCACTTAAAAATATATAAGTCTGACTGGTTTTAGAGGGCAAATTAATTGTAAAACTTTAATGTGTCTTGTAAACAACCAGTGTCTTTTACACTTAAAAAGATTTAAGTCTGACTGGCAGTTTAGGGAAAATTGATTTTAAAATTTTATGTATCTTGTAATAAGATTTTATTGATTCTATGTTGTTTTCTTAAAAGTCAAGTGCAGCTTATACGCACATGTTTTGTGTGGCTTATATTTGCATAAATATGGTATTACCACATTAATATTTCAAAACAAATTCAACAAAACAATTTAAAACTTCTCTGCATGTGTGTTCTTTGACAAATTACTTTTTTATCCATTAATGTTTCACAGTTAACAGTACGGTTAACATTACCGGAAGAGGCAGATTCCTGTAGCCATCAAAGTGTTACAGTAGGTTAACATATCATTTGCTTGGTATAAGGTCTTCCTTGTGTGGTTGATAGTTAATTGAGAAATTCCCGAAGATTCATCACTGTAATCATGCATCACCTTTTGAATGGTTTATTGAGCCAATCCAGTGCATTTCACATCTTAACAATGTTTCTCTATGATACATTTTAGTATTATCTTTCGGTCTACACCAAGTTATATTTTCCTAAAGCAAATGTTATTTTGAAAACAAATCTTGTTTTCCCATATCTTGTTTTAATTATAGGGATTGACATAAAGAGTGTGTGCGTATTAACTGCAGTGATATATGTGTTGGTTTATGGTGCATTGTTTATTTGTTCAAATGTAGACCTATCTTCTAATTGACAATGTTTGTAGGTGTTCTCCTCAAGACAGCCAAGGAAGAATAATAATGTTAATAACAAAAAAAGTGGTGAAATCCGTAATTCATATGGTCATAGAGAGCGGAGAGACAGCCACAGAGACAGGGATCAGAAATTTGATCATCAGCAGGGGACATCACGAGTGTACACTCCAGCACAGTTTGAAAACTCTCTGGGGAAACTTCAGGTATAGTATATGATTTGAAGCTTTTGCGGTGACGTAACACAATAAAATTTTCTCGGGTGATGACATCAGAACCCTGATGATGGGGACAGAGATGGTCCCTGAAGCGTCGGATTCATTGTTTAACCATCTGACGCGGCTGATCACCAGAGAAAATTTTATTCAGGTATAGTATTTTTCAGATTGTCATTCAATTTGATCCTATTATGGGAGGATAACATATATTTTGCTGGAGTAATAAATACTGTATTTACTTAAATATAAGATAACCCTTCATATAGATTGACCCACCTTCCTTTACAATCTTCAGTTTTCAAGAAAATATTACCTGAGGACGAGGAGCTTGAGGAGGATGTAACCATCCTTGGATCTACCTCACTGTTTGTTGTTGTTTTAGCCTGGCGCTCAGGTGGTTACAGCCATTTTTTTTACGTGGGGTATGTGTGGAGATATTGGGGGAAATTTTGATGGTGTGGGGTTGTCGGCGAGTAAGAGTCTCCGACACCCAGGGAATATATGTGGAGCAGAAGGTGAGGCAGATTCAGCACAGGTGGAGCGAATTCTCTTCTCTTATGTCGCTGTGATATTTCAGAGAAGCTTGCTTTTATTGTTTCTTAAGATACAAAAAAGATGAATATATTCCTAATTACACTTGTCGTAGGCAGCTCGATGATTCGGCTGTTGCGTTTGATAAAAATGTGTCTTCTCGGTGGAAGGAATAAAACTTGAGAGCCCCGTGACCACAGTTGCCATTTAAATACTCCTGCATTACGTAACCCGTTATTGAATTTGGCTTAAACACGGTGACCTGATTCCTTCCCCAACAATGGCAGGATTGCGCCTATAAGCTGTAATCAAATTCAATTGGTCCGTCACAGTAAGGTGATGGTCGTAATGCAGTCGTCACCCACATCTGGAAAGGGTGCATTCCATGTCTGGGGTGGCTCAAGTGCACTTTGTTTATGTTTCACTCCCTCCAGATGGAATGTCGAGGGTCTGGGAATACGCCCAAGCGACTGCGTGTGGCCACATTCTTTCAACTTAATATGTTTAACAGGACACAATTAATAAATCAATTAAATTTAGATGAAGTAAGGCATACCAAATATCGTCTAATTACACCTTATTCGTTTATATAAACCAGATTAATATGCCAAAGCCTGGTTTACCCTTCATCTCAAGGTTCAGCCCGTTCGGGAATCGAACTATGAACATGGACTGGCACAATGAGGTGGGCGGGACATGCAGCATGTAGGGGGGGGGGTGTTTACAAGGTATTGGTTGAGAGGCCTGAAAGAGGGAGACTTCTAGAAAGACCTAGGTATAGGTTTGAGGATAACATTATGATGGACCTTAGGGACAGGAATTGATGGAACAGACTGGATGCAGCTAACTCAGGATAGAGTCCGGTGGTGGGCTTTTGTGAACACGGTGATAAACATTCAGGTTCCATAAAGAAAGTGGGCTGTTCTTTAACAAGCCAAGTATACAATCAACTTTTCAAAGTATATCCTGCAGTATAGAGTGTGTGAATGAGTGAACAAGCTTGTTGACATGAGGATGACTAATTGTGGGACAAAAATCCTAACCACTTTAGCTCAGTTGATAATGAAATCATTGCAGAAGAGTGCAAGTATATTTTTATCATCCACTGTTCTTTATTTGATTTGTGGAATTAGCCTTTGTACAGCAGGACAGTTACATCATTGAGATGTTTGTATGCCATTGTTATGTTGCAGGATGTCAAATCCTGAAGAGTTTGACACAGTAGTGGAAATAAATTAAATACATCATGTTTTAATTATGAGACTGCATTGTGTACACTTACATGAGACGTGTGAAAAATGGGGTGCACAACTTATTCAAAGATTCCAGCTATTTGAGAAAATATGGCAATTATTTTCAGGTGTTATGTCTGTTTGTCTTGTAGGTTGGAAGTGTTACAGCACCAAGGAAAGTGATAGACATGGATGTTGTCTCTCATGAAGGCCTTGACTCCACGTTACAATCACTGCAAAGAGACTCTCGCAAAGTGAAACAACTTCTGCTTGAAATAGAAAGGGTATGGTCTAAACTACCAGCATCTGGTGTGAACACTTTTAGGAGTTTTTCACATGTTCCAAATGCCTTTTTGCTTATACAAGATTATATATTGTTTAAATCTTGTCCGTCTAATCACAATAAATTCTTATTAAATATTAAAATATTACATTAATTAAGATTGTTAGTTTATTGTTGTTTTTTCTGCTGCTTAGAAGGCTGCCGTGCTCCTGGCA